AAACAGCTAGCAAAACACTTCATAACACTTTAGCAATACTAACTATCTCTATATTCATCTATTCACACCTACATTCTGCAGTCATTACAACTAAGTATCACTTACAACCTATTAGATGGTGTTTCCTACGCTATTGGAATCATTCCAAGGCTATATAGCTTCTAATGTACGAAGGGAACTACTACTTGGGACATATATTATTATGAGAGAATGGTGAGGCAAAGCACGAAACGAGTTTTGTGTAAATATAATTGGAATATCCAAGGCATGAAAGCATCATCAACAGGATTATAAGGTAAATAAACATCAACAAAACTCATGCTATGCTCCATCTAGTTTATGAAATATTAAAAAAAAAAAAAAAGTCAATATCACACTAAACCGATTTTACTAAAAATCTAACTAATGTTATCAATTTTGTCCCAATTTTATGATGATTTAATTAAAATCCAATTATTTAGAAATAATGGAGCATTATTTAATGTACTAATTGAGATGATGCGAGATTGAAGAAGATGAAATTGACGTTGAAAGGGCGAAGGATGAGGTAACTGAACACTTAGATTAGGAATAGGTTGCATTAGATGATACTTTTTCGAAATACAAATGCTCTTTCGTTCTAAAATCGTATGCATATTAAGATTTATTGGAGAGTATTATGACGTTATGCCATTGTCATTCCACTGATAATGTTCTCAGAATTACTTTTATATGTGTGTGCCTTTTCTCTACTTCTACGTAAAAAAGATAAAATATTGCACAAGACAAAAAAAAACAAGATAGGTTCACATGTCACGTTCATTTCTATGATTTCTTATACGAATAAGAAATTATGACGAATAAAATATATATGATTGTAAAACACATGATAAAATGAATAATTTTATAAACCAAATAGAAGCAGTGATATTTACATTCACTGTTTATCCTTTGGATTGAAAAGTGATATTTAATTATATCATAATTAAAATTATGATATAATTTAATATAAATTAACTAATTTATGTAATAGATGAAAATTTACATATATTAAAAATAAATTATAATATTTTAGAGAAATATTCCAATTTTATTATTTTATAATTATGAAAAATTATAAGTACTTTTATAATTGAAAAAAAATGTTTTAAAAATTATTTTAAAATAAATTGTGATTATCTATTTATTCGTTTAAGTGCATTTACGGTTTATATACTAGATTTTTATGTTTTCACTATTTAGTTGTTTGAACCTTACGTTTTTTGTTGTTTGTATGTTATTTTCTTTTCAAATACGAATTTGTGTTTGAATATCTAAAAGTGAAGAAAATTTATAACACAGATAGGTATGGATCAAAGTTGGATGAATGCATGTCATATTAATAAAAAGTATGAAAAGGGAGTTGAGGTTGAAATTTGTTCATGAAAATGCAAAACCTATTAAAGAGACATATTATTTGTTCGTGAATGCACATGACATTAATGTTCTAAGAGGAAGACCCAGGATAAAAAATTTGCACTTCATTTATATAACTAAATACCATAATTATTATTTGTATTTAAATTTTGAAAATAACATTATGTTTTATTTATCAATTCAGGTAATAAGTAAATAAAATCTTTTGAATGTGACTATTATTTCACGTATTAGATAAGAATCATAGTTTGTATGGGTATAACTGATTCTTGGACGGAGATAATTGTTTTCAACATTTGTTAAGTTTATTTTGTTGGAAAATTAATTATTATAATCCTGATTTTGATTCTAACTATCAAACATAAATATTATCTCATACTCATAAACATGTTGTAAACTAAATGTGAAAGTGTACCTGAATTAACCATAATGATGATATCATTGTAGAGCACTATTGATCTTATGGTCTTCTACCTGAAGAGCACCTGTATTTCCCTCTGGATTTTCTCTCTTGATGGGGATAGAAAAAAAGGAACGAGACTGAGACTTACGTTCTGTGTGTGCTCCTAGAAGGGAACCACGACCCTTTAAATAATCAGAATTAGGTTAATTACTTAAGTTTTAGTATTTCCAATTTGGCCCCTCATCAAATTAGAAATTGTTCTATGATTTCTACACAATTTTATTTTCATGACATATGTCTTTAGCCAAAACTTTAATTTAGTCAAATCACTTTATTATTTGACTTAATAAATAATGACTCTAACACATTTAAATTATGTATCATATATACATGACCCAAAATTTGCCAACATATTTACCTTTATATGTATTGCATGTTAACAGAAGTTAAATTAATTAATGTTTCAAATATTTCAACATTCATCTTCACTATCAGAATATGATATTACACAAAATAGAGAATAATGAACAAGATTTTTCATTCGACATTTATAATACTTAGTTTGTAGGTTATTATTTGTATTATATTGTATTGTATTATGTAGTTTAGTATTTATGTAGCTTATTTTTTATATTAGTTTAGCCTTTATATTAGTTTAGCTTTGTAATATTACCTTTTAAAAAATTTACTCTTGTACAAGTTTAACTTTTATAGTTTTTTATTATATTGTATTGTTGCATTTTTTAATTACTATCTATTAAAAATCTAGAATTTGAATTATTTGTAATTAAAATATATTTGTAAATTTTAGTTATAAGACAAAATAAATCTAATATTAAAAAAATGGACGAAATTTACATCAGTATTGACACATCCAACATCATTTTCGTACTTTTTTTAATTTTAGAAACTCTTTTACGTTTGTTTTGTGTTTTTTTTACGTAAATTAACTTGTTTCTTGTTGAATTATTGACAAGCGTACCAAAATTTTCAATCGTAGTATAGTATTTTGATTAAATAAAAATCGATCCCACGAGGAACGGTTTCAATGAAAATTTTCAGTTATATGTTTACTAAGTGAATTAAAACAAATTGGGTTTTGCATAAAGAGTTGAATTGAAATTAAATGACAAAGAACTGTAAATTATTGAGAAAAGATCAATTAAAAGCACTTAGAATTGACTTTCTTCCTTATCCCTCTTTTGTAATGGTTATGTCAATTAAGAACGTCAATTAATCTAACAATGTTGATGTCACCTACTCAAATCATTCATGTTGATTCCTCACACATGAAATTCATAAGAAAACCTAACAAATGTTGATTCCTCCCACAATTAAGAGATTTTCTAGCATTAGGTTTAGGGTATTAAGCAATTGATACATTCATTCCATTTCTGGCAATTAACATAACAAATATTCTTACTGTGATCTAGGGTTCAAGATATATTTTCCAATCATATCTCAAACATCAAGAATAAATAATTCCAAAGCACAAATGATAAGAATAACAACATCAAAACATAGATTAATATCTCAAAATATCATCATGATACAAAATAGTTCAAAGGAAGTGCACCAAATCCCAAGAGAATGAAGTTAGTCACTCATGTTGGTCATTACAATGCTCCAAATGAGGAAGAAGTGAAGAATTGATGAAGATTGGATGAAACCCTAGCAGTAGTCACGCCTCTTCTCCCCAAAACCGCTTACTTTTCTCAAAACACATCTTATCTTTTTATAGGAAAAATTGGGTCCTGCGTCTTTCACTCAAGCGACAACTTTCGTCAAGCAAAAATTTCCTATTTTTGCTCAAGCGACTAAACGCTCGCTTGAGCGAGTGAATTCCAGAGAAGAATAACTAACATTCGCTCAAGCAAATTTTCTTGCGCTTGAACGACTGACTTCCAGAGAAGAATAACTTATATTTGCTCAAATGAGAGTTCATCCCGCTCAAGCGACTTCCCTACTGAAAATTTTCTTCCTTCTTTCAGTTTTACTCCATTTATGCTGACAATTATACTCCTTACTCTTGTATCAAAGTATTCTCGAATTCATCCTATATTGGAAGAAAAATAGATTAAAATTAACATAATTTAAGTGATTTTATAACAATCTAAGACATAATTATAACAACTTTTTACCACTTAACATTTCTCCACATATATAACTAATGTAAATTGACGTTAGTTATTTTACGTCTCCCGTATTAATATATGTCTAATATAAAAATACTAAAACAATAAACAAAAACTTCATTCCGCACTAGTGTATAGCTTAGCTTCTCAAATTCAAATTCTATGGATATTGTAGGAATTAATTGTTCCTTGACATTTATCAATTTAGGATGGTGTAAATCATATTTATTTTCTCATCTCTATCTCTTTCCTTTAATTTTTATATTTTGTTGTTGTTATTCTTTTATTTTTCTACATTTTTTTATTATTTTTGGTTTTTTTTTAGTTTTCCAATGTTATTCTAATTATTTTTTTTAGATTGATATTAAAACTTATTTTTATTATTCAAATTTAATTACTAATAATTTTAATCATTTATAATTCAGTGTAATAAATGTAATTAAGATTTTTCGGTAATATCTTCATTTAATTTAGAAATTTAAGTGATTATTTAATTTAAAATTTGAGTTATATTTTTTATTTAATTATATTATAAATATTTATAATTTTTTGAATTTATCTTATTATTATAAGTAGGTCTATACATGAATCATTAGAAATCAATTGTTACTTATTGATTACTAGAAATCAATCATTACTTTATAAATTAATAATTTCTTAGTTGAATTTATTTACGTAACTTCATTTATTGTGTTTGAACTTTAAATGGTTTCATATAATTAAATTTACTTTTCATTTACTGTTTTCATTAATACTTTCATTTACTTACTTTAATTACTGCTTTTCTTAAAATTAGTTTAATAGTTTTCATATATATATGCTAATTACTTTAAATTTACCGTTTCTATTTCAAAACACATTAAATTTTCTTTTCTTTTAACTTTTTAATACTTATAATAAAAATTTACATCATGTTCCTCGAGGATGAAAATTAATTATAGTATTGCATTACGTCTTTTTCTCTTTGTCATTTTTCTTCAAAAATGCAGCGTTAGTTTCTAATTCACAAAGTATGACCTAAAGCAGTGCCAAAACAAAGATGATGTTTTACATCCCAATACCGGTACATGACATTCAAAGCCAAATCAAAGAACGTGGATGTTTTACAAGGGCAACAACTATTTCCAAAATAGGTACACAATAAATTGAAATTGAAATTAAAATAATATATTAAAATTTATAAATTCTTCAACATTTTTTTTCTCCATTAATATAGAAAACTTCTTCTCTCTTCCTACGAACTAACGTAGAGCCTCTAACAAGGTGAGTGTAAGGAGCATTTAATATATTTTCCGCACCTAATAACGACTCACGAGAGTGGTGACTATTCTTCACAAATGATAAAACGTTAACGAGAGTGTGGGAATTCTCGAACTCCAAGGAGTTGCTTGAATTCCACGTCCTCATCAGTGATGGTACAACGTTAACCACAGGTCAAATTTTCGATGTTCCTGCCAACACTGTTGAAATAGAAAATGTTGCTCGCTTTGCCGTTGACCAATACAACAAAATTGGGGTTTGCTTTTTATTCTTCTTCCTTTTCTTCATTTAAGTAGTGAATTATTATTCCATGATTGATTTTCGGTATGTGATTTTCTGAATGATGCAGCGTGCAAATCTAGTGTTTGTGAGGGCGATCCATGCAAAGAAGCAGGTTGTGCATGGGTTCAATTACTTCATAACCTTGGAAGCAAAAGATGGTGATATTATAAAAGTTTATGAAACCAAAGTGTGGGCATTCTCAAACTCTAAGGAGTTGTTGGAATTTCATGTCCTCGTCCGTAATGATACAACGTTAACCAAAACAGGTCAAATTTTTTATGTTCCTGCCGACAGTATCGAAATAGAAAATATTGCTCGCTTTGCCGTTAATCAATACAACAAAAAGGAGGTTTTGTATTATTTTTCTTCCTTATCTTCATTTTAGCAGTGAACTATTATTCCGTTATTGATTTTCGGTACGTGATTTTCTAGCACAGAAAGCAAATCTGGTGTTTGTGAGGGCGATCCATCCAAAGAAACAGGTTGTAAAAGGGTTCAACTACTTACTACTAGAAAAATGGTTAATAATGACCAAAATTAATGATTAAAAAATTCAGTCACTGATAGTAACTCAATCAGTCACGATTTAGTGACTAAAATTTCAGTCACGAAAAACGATCACTGATTCGGTCACCAAATCAGTTACTGATTCGGTCACTACTAAAAATATGGTTAATAATGATCGAAATTAGTGACATTTAGTGACTGATTTAGTGACTAAAATTTCAGTCACTAAATAAATAATCTATAAATTAGTGACCATTTTTTATTTATATAAATATTTTTTTTAAATATTTTAATAATATATTAAATATAAATCTACTTAATAATTTAAAATAATTGATAAAAAATTTAATAACATTATAAAAATTTTAAAAAATAGTTTATTAACTTATTAAATAATTTAGTAATATAATTATTTGATTTTATTTTTTAATTTAGTATGTGAATAAAAAAATTAAAATTAATTATTAAATTAGTCAACGAATCGGTCACTGATTCGATATTAAATCGATCATTAAAGTAATTATTAATTTAGTCTATTTTATATATATAATCAATGATTAAATTAATTATTAATTTAATCTCTTTTTGATATATATATATATATATATATATATATATATATATATATATTACTTTTATGTTAATAAAAATGTATTTCAATGTATTTATAAAAAAATTAAAATTATTTTAATTATTGAATTGATATTTCAAATTTATATTAATATCTTAAATAATTTAATAATGGGATAAATATTTTAAGTTTATATTAGTATTTTTATAAAAGTGTAAAAATTAAGTGAACTTATTTTAAAATTTAATTAAACATAATAATATAATATACTATTAACCATAAATCGGTGAAGATTTAGTTAGAAATTAATTTTAAGTTTTATCATTTTTATTTAAAAAAAATTGTTAAAAAAATCAAAATTATTAATTAAAATAAAGAATTTTAATTTAATAAATGTGTTAATATTATTAGTTATTGGAGAATTAAATTTATAATAATAATTATATAAAATTATAGAATTAATAAAATTTAAATTATTGGTATTTTTTTTATTCATGAAGCTAAAATTTGATAATATTAATAAATTAAAATAAAAAAAAATAAAAAATTATATATATATATATATATATATATATATATATCACTTTAATTATTTTAACTAAAAATAATTTCATAAAAAAACTAATATTTGAAAATAAAAAATGCAAAAGTATATATTTTTTCTTTTAGTTAATTATATTTTTTATTTTTTACTTTTTGGGTTTTAGTCCATAATAACAACTTAGTTTCCCTAATTTTAGTTTAACCTAAAAATCTCATCGTCTTACCACAAAAATATATAATTTCTCTTATTAACAAAGTTTTTTTTATCAGATTAAGAAAATTATCACTAATAAGATTCAAAACCAATACCTTAGAGTTAGATACTAATACTCCAATCACTAAACTGTTAGAATTTTCTAATAAAAATTTACAAATAAATTATATTTATATACAAATAAATGTATATCCGTGTAAATATATAAATATAAAATATATAAATATAAATATATTTATATATTTTGATATATTTATATATTTATATGTTCGATGTCGAGGTCACGCTAGAGGGTGAAAGTGTGTGTCGAGTAAGTTTTCAAAATTTGATGTCAAATTTGTGAAGGAGTCTCTTTATATGGATTTATAATTTAATGATAGAATATAATCTTTATAATTTATTTATATAATGATATAAAATAATTGTTTTCTTTATTTATTTTTATTTTATTTTATTTATTTTAATTTATTCTTTTTATCTTTTTTTCTTCTATTATTTAATTAAAATTCTTATATTAAAATATTTTTTTCATTATTAAAAATAATTAAATATTTATTTTCAAATTTATTTTTTAAAATTATTTAATTTAACAAATTATTATAAATTAATCTATGTCTGGAAAAAATAATTATTAAAAGATGATTTTGATTAATTTATAATAATATATGTTAGGAAAAAATTGTTCTATTAATAATCATAATTAGATTAATTTATAATAATTTATTAAATTAAATAATTTTAAAAATAAATATTTATTTATTTTTAATATTGAAATAATTATTTTAATATAAGAATTTTAATTAAATAATAGAAGAAGAAAAAGTTAAAAGAATAAATTAAAATAAAATAAAAATAAAATAAAAATAAATAAAGAAAAAAATTATTTTATATCATTATATAAATAAATTATGAAGATTATATTTTGTCATTAAATTATAAACTCATATAAAGAGACCAGCTCACAAATTTGACATCAAATTTTAAAAATCCTTTCGACACACACTTTCACCCTCGAGCAGCGTCTTCACATCCAACATATAAATATATAAATATATTTGTATTTGTATATAAATATAATTTATTTATAAATTATTGTTAAAAAATTCTAGTAGCTTAGTGGTTGAAGTATCGGTCTCTAACTCTAAATTATTGGGTTTGAATCCTACCAGTGACAATTCTTTCAATTTAATAATAATTCAAATTTTAAAAAAATATAATAAGTAATAAAAATATATTATATAAAAAAATATTTTTAATTTTTTAATGTTTTTGTTAGTAACCGATATAGTGACCGATTTTGATTATTTAGTACCGAAAATTCAGTCTTTGATGTTTTTGTTGGAGTTGGAAGCAAAAGGTGGTGAGATCACAAGAAAGTATGGAACCAAGGTGTGGGAATTCATGAACTCCGAGCAGTTGTTGAAATTCCACATCCTCGTTGGTAATGATACAACATTACCCAAAGCAGGTCAAATTGTCGATGTTCCTGTCAACACCGTCGAAATAGAAAATGTTGCTCGCTTTGCCGTTGATCAATACAACAAAAATGCGGTTTTCTTTTATTCTTCTTCCTTTTCTTTATTTAATTAATGAATTATTATTCCATGATTGATTTTTTATTCTTGATTTTTAAAATAATGCAGCATGCAAATCTAGTATTTGTGAGGACGATTCATGCATGGAAGCAGGTTGTGAAAGGGTTTAACTACTTCATAAACTTGTTAGCAAAAGATGGTGAAATTATAAATTTGTACGAAACCAAAGTATGGGAATTCTCGAACTCCAAGGAGTTGCTGGAATTCAAGCTTGTCACTGGACCTCTTTGATCCTCTTTGGTTCTAAGCATTGCACTTAGCCAGGTAAAGATTTGAGATATCATATGGTTTTGTTGCGTGTTGGAATTATCAAACGTGACTTTATTGTTCTTTCAGGTTAGTAGCTTGGCCCAAGGTGAATGTCTCAGCTCCTATTTGAAGACTATCTTATAATTATGTAAGGGGATAAATAAATGTAGCTGTTAACGCTACATGCAATGTGGGTGGTGTACGCATTAAGCCTTTATTTCAAGATGGACTGTGCTACAAATAAATGCTATCGTTGAATCATTATTATTATAAATAATGACTACGTATTTATGTGTACGTAACTGTGCAAATCTCAAAACTTGCATGCACGTAGTTGACGAGAGAAATACATGCACAAGTATCGCAAAATTCAATCACAATTAATATTAACCTTGAAAAACCCTTAGATTGACATCGATATTATATTTGACATAAAAAGAGTTGGGTAATAAACATTGAGTAAGCTGTGTCAAAGGTCAGGAAAGAACCCTATAAGGCTAAGCAAGCAACAATATAAAGGCAGGCCGGAGTAAATTCAAAGACCATTAACAATATACTAACAGAACAGTGGATGCATTCAACATTGTCTCAAACATGAGTTCATCTAAATCTTTATAGACAAAGGTAAGTGTTTATTGATTCTTTCTTCTTTTTTGGCAAAGTCTCTTTCTTAATTGTCAATAGTAGTGCAATAAACTCAACATGACAAAAATTCAAAAGGTTGCATGCAAATCATGTGGTCATGAGGGAAGTGATATTGCTCCACAGAAGTGCTCTATCAAAGTACATGAAGAAAAATCATGTGATACAATGAGAAGAGAAACTAGATACGAGTCTGATTAAGATAGAACAAAATCATAACAAACAAATATACTTTAAAAAGGCACTGCCTATGGGAGGCACTCCTTAAAATTTTAAGCCGAACCACACCCAAATCTTAATATGTAGTGCCTTCCATAGGCAATACTTATATATAAGACGAAAATTTCTCAAATTACAATACCTGGACTATTTCTAATTGCACCAATCTATATCTCCACTTTGGCCTAAAACAAAGATTGTAAGAAGAGTAATCAACGCCCTATCATCCCTCCTAATTTTCCTAATTACTAAGGATCTGTCTAACACTGCTCCTAAGAAATCTACTCTAGTTCTTCATTAGAGCTTTCTAGTCACTGGCCTATATGAAATGTCATATTTAAACCAACACAAGTATATTTACATTTCTTCATCGTAATCCTCTTCATCTTCATCAATTCTTCCATTTATGTTAGCTAGTTGAATGGGATCAATGGTCATTTTTTCCATATCAGACAAGGACCATCCAGGGTACTCCTCAGGCTTCTCTTCTGATATTGATTTTGCAGATGAACCAGTTGGAACAGGAGTTAGTGATTCTATCGAATCCATATTCTCATCTGGGTCCATGTTTAAGTCAAAATTTCGAATGGACACTTGGGCCGGCTTGCTAATCCGAAGAGTCTGCTTAACTTCTTCAGGTGATGACGCATTTTCCATGCTTTCATTGCTTTGACTCTGTTTTTCATTTTGCTTCAATACATCGGAATCTTCTTCACACTTGACATGTGAACTCACCTCTTGATCTACAGTTCTTATTCCACGACCACGACCCCTACCTCTTCCCCTACCCCTTCCTCTCCCACTGGTATGTCCAGGCTCTGCCTGTTCAAATCATGAAAATAAAAAAAAAATAAAAAAAACATTATTCAGATAACATTTAACATCAAGCAGCTGCTCTTTAGAATGCTGCATCTAACATTACTAAAATAACATTTAACAACTAAATGTAGATGCATTTCTAAGCTATCAGTAAACTTCCCTAATGACTAAAATAATTTTTTTGTAATCAGCAAAAGGTTCACGGTGTGATGACAATATATAATTACTCAGCAAAAGGCGTAATCACACAAGAAAAAATTATGCTAACTACTGATGAAGAAATAGAATACAGTTGATATATTACCTTGTTATTTCTCTTGGGCTCCTCGTGGCTACCACTATCATCTTCAGCAACTTTCCTAATATAAAATAGACAACTTCAGCATACCGAAAACTAGTTCCAACTAATAAGAGTATTAACCATAACACAAACCTCCTCTTGACAGTATGGTCATCACCATTTGCAACAGAACCACCTAAATCAGGAACCTTGCTGACAATATCTTTCAGAAAGTCAAAGACATTAAAAGTCTGCACACACTGTTTTCTGCAAAGACAAAGGATGCAAGAAACCTGACCTTTTAGAAACCAGAAAGAGAAGGTAAAAACTACACTAGAACAAACAGCACATAATAATGTCACACATAATGGAATATTAAATATCCGTATAAGAATCCAAGGACATAATAATGAGACTTGGCAATACAATTGTAGATCTGATGTGATGCTCTTAGAAGTGCATAGTAGTAAACCAGCCCACACCCTCCCTCCAAACAAAGAAAAAGGTGCAGGCTTGTACAAATTGTAACCACTTTATACAGACTTGGCAAAGACAAAATTGAACCAATAAAAGAATAGGAATCTCACTTACAAATGGAAAGCATTCATTGTCTTTGCTCCCCTCCTCAAAGTTATCTCATATGTTCGATCACACAAATCTTGTAGAAATAGTTCTAGTGCTTTAGCTGCAACGCAGAAACATGAATCGTCATAAATCAGAGATAATTCATTATAAACTCCCAAAAGCACAAAAACAAATCTGCTTGAGGGAGACAAAAAAAAATACAATATGCATGAAAAATTACTTACAAACTAAAAGAGGCACTGCCATTGCAATCTTCCCTACATCCTCATCAGCTTGCATAATTTTCTTTATCCTAGCCTGTCAATAACCAATTGAATAAGAGTACACAATTATTAAATAAATTAGTTGTTTCCGGTAAAAATAAAACTGTTTGTCCTACTCCCCCAGCAATAACCTACGCTCAAACTCCTCCACCACCCTCCTAGAAAAAGAAAAGGGTAAAAGTATAAAAGTTAAGAATGTATTGCACATAATCGAGTAATCAAAAATACGTAAAATGGAGACTAGTGTAAGAACACAAGGTGGGCCACAGAAGTCCCTCGTGTCTGTTTCCCACATGAATAAGGTTTAGGTATGTGTGAAGAAAAGCTATAGAATCCGAATAAATAAAGTACACCAGCTGGAGGGTATTCCCATAGCTAGAAAAAGGGAGAGATCAAGAAAAAATATATTTAAACTTAAATGATTTGATGACATGACTTATAATAGAACATCGTGGCATTGTTTGATGCATATATTCTACCACAACGAGTGGGAAAAGGCTTCTGTTGTTAACGACGATGATGTTGCTCTGTTTAATGTATGATATATAATGTTCAATCCTCAAAAATTGTAATAAGGAAATACTTAGAAGCAGTGGTTTTAACAAAGACAAACAATCCCATAAAAAAAATACCATTGCTTGAGGGGACCAAATTCAAGGAATTTTTTAAATAATACCAAATTTGGAAAAAGGTTAGAAGGGAAATAAGTACTTCAGTTTCAGACAATATGCTGTCCTAGTTTAGGATTCACAAAGTATGATCTAAAGCAGTGCCGAAACGAAGATAATGTTTTACATCCCAAAATCGGTAAATGACATTCGAAAAAGCCAAATCAAAGAACGTGGATGTTTTACAAGGGTAACAACTATTTCCAAAATAGGTACGCAATAAAACGAAATTGAAATTACACCAAGAAAATCTCCAAGTAAAGAGAGGCATAATGAAGAAGAATTAAGATGTGCACCAATCACAACGTCAAAGGTGGTTGGGTTCCTATTTGTCTTTCGAAAAGAAAACTTATTTCATCCAAAGAAACGAAATTCCTATGGGCACGGTTCTTAAATCAACATTAACTTTAAAAAACAATTCAAATCATTGACAAAGGAACAATTAAGGGCCAAAACTATTTCAAAGCCTTCGTGTTAATACAAAAACATGTATGTACATCAAAACATAAACGACAGAACATCCAAAACCAAGAGAAACCCACCTCCTCCCATGTTACCCAGAAACAGTAATTTGCACAAGTAAAACAAAACAACCAATCCCAATGTAACCAGCCTAATGAATAGAATGCAAAACAACAAGGAACAATCTTTTCTACATGAAGAAACAAAGGGAAAGAGAGAACTTACCGCAGGAAAACGAGTATCTAGCTTCTTCCTCATGATGTGAATAAAAAAAACGTATTGAGATGAAGGCCAAACCCCACTTTTACTTTTTATAAAGGGAAAGAAAACAAGATTAACGTTGAAGAAGACGAAGAAGCAAAGTGGAAAAAAAAAACTATATTTTTATTTTTGTTTTGTTGTGTGAGTGTTTCCCCCTCCCACGAAGCGCTAATTTAGGAGTCTCCTACCATTCACACTTTGTGTTTCAAACTTTTCATATTCACCATTCCTTTCTATTCCAAAACTAATTTTATTTTTTTCTGTTCAAAATCTAATTTTAATTATATATATATATATATATATATATATTAAAATTAAAATTTTTATTATTAGAGAACATAAATAAAATAAAATAATTAGATAAAAAGTAATCAACCTTAAATTTGCATGTATTTTTTTATGATAGAAACTTCTGTATATTGGTTCATGATGTAATTTTTATCTCATAATCTCAAATAACTTAAAATTTAAGTTAAATTTACAATATAAAAATAAATTTCGATACTTGTACTAAAATAATAAAGTTTATTTTATCTCTTTTTTTTCTTTGACATATAATTAATTGGTTAAAATTTATACAAGTTTTTGTTCGTTTTAAAAAAATAACAAAAGCTTATTTTTACAGTTTTTTATCAGAATAAATTAAAAAAAAAATTTGAGATCCGAATAACAGCTTTTCTAATTAAATTTAAAATAAATAATATTGAATGTGATGATTTATATTAATGTTATATAAATAGATATAAATTTAGGAGAAGATCATACAGACAGTTTTGGAATAAAAATTGAAGTATGAAGATATAAATATAAAAATAATGAAAAGGGGGCAAAGTAAACAAAATATAATTGTTAGGAGAGAATAAAATATGTGATTATTTTGTTTATTTATGTGGAGGTCAATTTTTAAATAATAGAGAGTAAATATATATATATATATATATATATATATATATATATATATTAAAAGGATTATTATATTTTTCTCATTAAATTTTTAAAATTATTCATTCAAACGGATATTATTATATATTTAATTAGTTAAGTTTATAATTATTGTGAAATATTTTGATTAATTAAAATTAGTGCACCAAAGTAATATAGGAAATATATTTTTCAAATTTATATAAATTTAGTTTAATATTCTTTAAATGTTATTTAAATAATTATATTAATTTTTAAATTATTAGATTTTTATGGTTTATATTATACATATTTTAATACAATCGAAACACTTGTCATCTTAAACCAAAATTTTTAAATCAAAATAAATTTGTTGTTTTTACATGGTTGATTAATATAAATTTATTATGATACAAAAAAATATCTATAAATTTATTTGTACCTCACTTAATAATGATAAGCTTTATATGTCTAATGATTTATCATGTCTTTAAAGAAAAATAATGATAATATCATCATAAAAAATGAATAAATCCTTTGAAATTAAAAAAAATCATCAATTAGATCATTTATTTGTTTTATCTATTCACAACGAAATTTTTGTGAAATATAAAATATAATTAATTTTTTAATCACTTGATATAAATATTTTTAAATATTCAATTAATTTGTTTACATATGAATGATTCATCTTGCATTTAATGGATTTTGTTATATTTTATTTATATAATTATCTTAAAAATAATATTTATATGAAACTTTTCAAATGATTTAATTTGTTAAATGATACAAATTATAAAGAAAATCATTTAATTAAGTTAAATAAGTTAATTCATCAGTATATATATACTTGTGGTATAATTGTTTCAGTATTTTGTTTTAAAATAATAAAATAAAAATAGTCTTATTTTATCTTTATTTAAAACTGATTGTTATATTTATTTATATTGGAACTCCTAAAATATCTCGCAAATGGAGTTAATTTAATTCTTATAGAAAGAAAAAAAGTTGAGATAAAGAATCTTAAAAGATAAAGTTTTATTTGTATTATATGTTTAATATTTAAATAATTTTTTTTTTAATATTCCTTGTTTTCTTCTTGTACAGTGATTTTAAACTTAAGTGATCAATTCAATGCTAAATATATACATAGTATAGATACTTTAAAAATTTTATGTAAATATAATTTATATTCATTATACACTAAAATGATTAAAAGATATTTAAATATAATTAAAGATAATTCTAAATATAAAAAAGAAGAATAATTTTTTTTAAAACAGCATACCATCATGAGAATATTAATAATATTAAACTGGATATAACATTTGTTATAAATATATTAACAAGATATAATTTTTTTCTCTGTACAAAATATTTATTTTAAGTAAAATATGTATTTCGAAAAAACTTATACATAGAAGCATACTACTTGTTTAGATTCATATTCGTTAATCACAGACAAAATATTTATTCATAACAATATGGGAAGTAAATAATAATATTACACAGTCATGCGATACTACAATATGAGAATTTTGTGACATATCATTAATAAAATTAACATTATATATTCTTAGATCTTTTATAACACGCAATCAACACGAAAATTTTAACACATTAAACTAAGTAATTATCCATCTATTTTTATATATTATTTGTTGTATTTTTTTTACAATGTAATTATTATTAATTTAATTTAATAATTCAATTACACATTGAAAATTTAGTTTCACGTGACTGTCAAATGATTTTTATTATATTTTTTATTTTAATTTATTAAATTTAATGTATACATCAATTTTAAAATATAAATATATATTTTTAAAATTATAAATTATAAATTATTGAATATAAATAAACATTAAATATATTTTGAAAAATATCATTAAGAGAAATTTATAATTAAAATATATAAAAATAATAATATAAATTATAAAATGATACTTCTTGTATATAATTACAGGTAAAATGTTTATCTGAGAAAAAAAAAAAAAGAGTAGAAGGAAATTGGATTAAGGTCTTTGATTTTGTAGAAAAGGTATTGATTCATCTAAAACTTCACCTTTATTCTAGTGGATGAGATATGTTCCCAAACCAATGAATGTTCTTTAAAATTTTTTCCACAAAGTATTATTTTAGTAAGTTATATTCCTTTTTATGTCAATCTTCATTCTCATCAAAATCATCCTTTCTTTCAAATGTTTTCTTCTATTTTAGTAATATACTTTTTATTTTAGTAAGTGAATACCTTCTAATCCTAACTTATTATAATATACTTTTTTTTCTTCTATTGGGCAACATGTTGCCATGGTCAAGTTCATATAAAAAAACATTGGTTCCACCTTAGAAAATAATGTGGTGAGGGTGTTATTTTAATTCTTTGTTTCGTACTACAAATGGTTTGCATAATCTTTTCCTCAATGACAAAGTTTGTTTAAAAAAAAAAAAGGAATGTGTTGAGGGTGGGAGAAACCCAATGATAAATGCTTCCATTAGTCTTGTTTAGTCACCAAATTCTCAATTTTTTTCTTTTCAAGGTGAAAGGAAGGTCAATGGATATGAAAACCATATAAAATAAAGAAAATGGAAGAAAATTAGGTTAATCATGTTCAATCGCATAAATATCCTAATAATATTTAATGATATTTTATTAATTATTATTATTATTATTATTAAATTATATTTCGAAGGTGAAAGATGCCGTAAGTGTTGTTAAGATGAAAAAATATTATTGAAAATCATTCCTATACGTGTTAAAAATTCCACCTATATTAAAAACAGATAAAATAACATATAATAAATTTTATAAAATTAAAATAAATATTCATTTATTTTTTTAATAGAGTTTTGTAGAAAAATTATAAAATATATATATATATATATATATATATATATATATTTAATATAACAATGATAATTATTTTTTTTATATTTTCTTAGTTTTTAATTATAACATCACAGATGATTAAGAAAATTTATATTAATATTTCAATATTTTTAAATTTTGTTTAAATGATTAAAAAAATGTATTATTGCTAACTTTTTTTAATTAAAAACTATTATTAAAAGTATTAATAACATAGTTTTCTAAAAATGAAATAAAAACACATTTTCTACAATTAATTTTGTAAACAAAATATTCTGAAATATATATATATATATATATATATATATATATATATATATAGTTTATGTAATAATACCATATTTTAACTTAAATATACATAGGTGTCTAAATTCAAGTTGTCAACTACATTATTACATTATTACAAGAGTTAAAAAATCTATAATTCATGTAATAACATTATTTTATATTTAATAATAATAATAAATAATGAATGTTTTTTCTTTTCTATTTAGTTTTTCAAATCTTTTTTTGTTTTATCGTTTTCAGATCTCTGTTTCTTCAAAACCCTAATTCTGCCAAATTTTGAGCCTCGAAAAGCCTATCTCTCTTTTCTCTGTCTTCGTCCTCTCTAACCATTTCGCCATTCAACAGCGATCCCTTCATCGTCGTCGTCGTCGTCGTCGCCATCTCTTTCAACGCTGTCTTCTCCGAAACCCTAGGTTGGTTATTCTTCTTCGTATACCTGTTTTTTTTTTTTTGTCTCTTTTCTCTCTTTCAATCTCAAACTGCAGCTACGATCCTCCGTCACCTCGTTTTTTGGGGATCGAGGAACTGCGTGTTTGGTTTCGAGATTGGTGCCATCACGGAATTGGGTAATTCGGATTCCGCATTTTTGCGTCCGTGGGATTTGTGAATTTCTGGTCTGTTTGGATTGTGAAGTGTGGATACAATGGATCCTCGAGAGGGAATAACGTGAGACTCATGCTGATACTTGTTGGTTTGACCTTGATTGTAGTTTTGTTATTTTGAGTTGGATGTGTGTTAGGTTTGTTCGTGTTGAGTGCCCATATTGCAACATGTTGGTTTTGCCAGAAAATGGAAATTTTCGCTGTTTAGATAGACATGTCAGTGTTATAAGGAATTGTGGTGTTATGTTTGCTTCTTCGAGTTCTAGTTTTTTTGAGGAGTGGGATGATCTTGTAAAAATTTGGGTGAGTCTGTAGGTTATTGTTTCAGTTCGACTACAAAGTTTTGGTGCATGTGCGCGTTTGAGTGTATTCTTGGAAGACCATTTTTCTTTGTTTACTGTGCTGATCAATGCAGAACTGGAATGGTGGAAGACAGGAGAACATGGAATAGTTTTGTCTTACTGTTAATTGTTTAAAATTTTGGGCGTGATTGCATGCCTGAACTTCGTGGAAAATGATAATTGACTATGTGATACTTGCACTCTCGGTGGTGAAAAACTAATAACTTGTGTAACAGTGTTGTACATTCTTCTGGTAAATTCAACTGAAGCATTCTCAATTTTGAAACCGAGCAATGCATGTGCAGAGAGAGATCTAGCTTTTTGCTGGCAGAGGTGTAATTGTATAAATTTCTGTAGCTGCACTGGCATAGATGAAGTTAGGCACAGTTTTTAAAATAAACTGTGTGTGATTAAACTCTCTTCAAAAAATTACATTGAGGGTACAGACCGGAAAATCTTCCCCTCTCTCTCCCCATATTCCTTAAAGTTTGTTCTGAAACTTCTTTGAAGAGAGAATATCAACTACTTTGTTTTGTTCAATTTTATAACATAAACTTGTTTTGGCTTGTTCACTTACATTTTTGGCCTCTGTTCATTTGTTTTGCTCCCCCCCCCCCTTAGTATTGTCTACTGTGTTATCTAAACTACGGAATGGAAATTAGTTTTCAGTTTCATTAGCTTCATTGGAAGTTTCCCACAACTTGTATGTGGTTACTCATTTGCCGAAGGATCTATATGTACGATGTTCCTTATATGAACAGATTTTAGTTTTTTGGGGGAGCGAGAGTTTGTGTTTTTGTCTTCCTGTGTTGATTTGTATGCACTATAACTTTTTTTTTTTAAATATTACAGGACCATTGTCTTGTAAGGATGTCTCCTGCATCGCGATCCAAGTCTAAAGACAAAAAAGCTAGCAAGGAAGCCCATAAGGCTTCTGCAAAGCCTACAGGATCTGGTAATGCAGTAGCTGGTGTTCCAGCCAGTGCATATAATCCTTTATTAGGAACATTCCATACACTGGACATTTCATCAACACCTACCTCACCTATACATTCTAATGGTCGTTTTCGAAACATAGATGAAATAGAGGAACATCCTGTCAACTCAGTGGTTGCTGGTGTTGAGTATGATTCTGTTTCCAACAATGGTAGTTGGTCTGGTGAGTCCGAAGAACATAAAGAGAAAAGTTCTAATGCCCCTGTTCGGTCAGACACAGTACCAGGAGCTGATAATGACAAACGAGAGAAAATCCGCCAAAAAAATGAAAGGAAGCATCAACGGCAGAAGGAAAGGCGAGCACAGGAATTGCATGAGCGGTGTACTGGTTATCTTATGTCAAGGAAACTTGAGGCACTTTCTCAGCAGCTTGTGGCAATGGGATTTTCTCATGAAAGAGCAACAATGGCACTGATATTGAATGAAGGTAGGGTTGAGGAATCAGTAGCGTGGCTGTTTGAAGGTGGTGAAGAAGCAGATTGTAACAAGGATACAAACATATGTAGGGGCAATTTGAAAATTGACATATCAGATGAGCTAGCTCGGATCGCAGACTTGGTAACAAGGTATGATTGCTCGAAACAGGAGGTTGAAAGAGCAGTTGTTAACTGTGAGGGTGATCTTGATAAAGCTGCTGAAAACTTGAGAGAATTGAAACTTGATCCACCATCTGCTCCACCAAAACCAGAGGAAACTGGTGATCCTCCTATCAATAACAGTGTTAAGCAGTCAGGAGTTTCAAGTCAGAGTTCAAGGCCACTAACAAAACCTGTTCCTTTACCAAATCAAACCATAAGAGATGAAAAGGAATTTAACTATACCAAGGCTGCAATGACGATGGGGGTACCTTCAGATTCCAGCAATAGAAATATGCAACCTCTAAAGAGAATCCAACCTAAGTCTGAATGGGCAAAGCCCCAACAGGCTACTGTACAGGCTGATAAAAAGTGGCCAAGTTCAGGATCTAATCCTTCTGTTTCTTATTCACTGGCATCACCATTGCAAATGTCACCCCCACCTGCTAAATCTGAAACACGATATATGCCTGTTGGAGGTGATTTTAAGAACCTTCAACCTATAGTAGCCAGGGAACCATTAATCATGATGCAGCGGCCCCAAACTGTAAATGCAAAGCAAGTTCCAGCCACAAGTATGAGTTCATCGCCTCCTGGTATAGCTGCTAGTTGGTATCCATCTAACGGTCCAGATACTGTGAGATCTAATGGCTTTTTATCTCATGCTTCAAACTACCTGGGTTCTAATCAAAGGTATCACCAACTTCAGTATCAACCTCAACAACAGTTTGTTGGTGGCAGCAGCAATTCAGTAGATAACCAAGCAACCTGCCAAGGGAATAATAGCAATTGGAATAGAGCAGGTCCAACTCCAACGCTTGCTGCTGCTACTTCTCTAGGACTCTTTTCTGGACTAGGATCAGCAGGCCAGTCAGGGGCAACTTCTCCAGTAGACTGGAGCACCGGTGGGTCAATGCAGTTTGATTATACCAACATAGACTGGTCCTTGGATAGAAGTTTAGCTTCACCAAGGTCAAACAGTTTATGGCTAGGATTTTCACCATTTTCAAAGAGTAATGCTCAGATGTATGACTCAAATGCTTCAGGAGTCGTTGCTCAATCATCAACCAGACCGGTTCCCTCAAATGGGAGCGTTGTTCCCATGCCTGTACTGCAAGATGGTGGAGTAGCTTCTGCTGAGACATCTGCTGGTTCCCGGGACTGGAGTTCTCCATTTGAAGGGAAAGATCTTTTCAGTTTACCGAGACAGTTTGTTTCTTCTCCTACTCTGTAAAATGAGGGGAGAAAGTTGAATGAATAAAATCAAAGAAAGACCCAGAAATGTGTGATTTAATGTTGGTTCTTATGATTCTACGGTTGATGATTGTTGGGGGTAAGCTTTCGGTGAACCATCCAAAAATATTTGCATGCTTTGGCGGCCAAATGCAAATCACACATTCTAACCCTTAAACTCGGACTATTCACAGTAATAAAAACATCATAAAACTGACAATAATGGTTAATCTACAATATATGGAAAAGAATAGAGTTTGTGAGTGAAAATTATTTAAAGCTAACCAAATTTCTAAACTGGATACTACTTTAATTGACCAAATAACAACACTATTGATCGATACTATCAAGTCCATCTAAACTCTTTGTTGTGAGAACTATTACGTGGATCTCTTTTAAGAAGATGGAAGTTATAATCGTCAATAAGAAATCATGTATCGATGTCGAATTCGAAATACTATGAATTGAATTATGGAGTTGGGATTGACACTATTTTTAAGTTTGATCTTAACCGAAAATAACATTTTGTAGTTAGATTTTATTTCATTCATAACGGGTCAAATTAGTTTTACGTAATTTTGTCTTTGCGAAAAAATCCAATGTCTTCTATCCTACCAACTCTACATCCATCATTAAATCATTGAAAGAAATGAATTTGAATCTTCTTCGGCCTAAATATGATGTTGTAACTTATTAATATAACATTTAACATCACTTTAGTTTTTATAATACAAGTTTATTTTTGTTAATTTTTTATTTTTTATTTTATAATTTATTTTCAATTCATTTTAATCTGTCAGTTTTAGCATCATTATAATATTTTTTCCAGAGTAAAATTCTCATTACTCAATTTTAATCTTATAATTTATTTCTTGTGTTAATATTGTCAGGAAGCTTTTCCTGTGCAATTTTCCTGATTGCATCATTTTTTGCTCTGTGTTCTCCCCACCAATTTTAGCGCCATTGTTAAAGTGAGTGATATTTTACTTTGTTGAGTGTCAAAATACCACATTACACTCAAGCAATCTATAATATATTTATTCTATTTTTACTCCAATGTTTAAGTTTCAATTCATTCTTAATTTACTCCTATTTCTAAAACTTTAAATTTACATTTAATTTGTATAAAATTAAAACATTGATATGATTATTTAAATTGATTCATTTAAAAATAAAACAAAAATTGGGAAAAACAACTTATTTCTTAATCTAAACTATTATAACAAGTCAAAACAATGAAATACTCATTATAATTAGCAGGTAAAATTCAAAACACAATAATAAAAGAAGACGAGTACATAGCAATGAGAAATACATTATATTGCATAAAAATTAATTTTTGTTATTGCCTTGTGGATTTGTCTATTTAAGAGATGCACTCTTCTTGTAAGCAATTGGGATGAACATCATCACCTACTTTAAACTTTTGAAGTACGTCCCAAGCCTCTGATCCTCTGAAGGGTGAGTTTTTTTTTCCAGCATTATTCACATGAGACATGAATTTGACATGAATAACTTGTAAATGGTTGCTACCTGCTAATTGGCTTGGTTAACTCTTGAAAGCAAATTCTGAGTTAACCAGAAATGCTTTCACCGACACATTTTCCTCACATTGGACAAAAGTTGTTTCATTTGTACCTTGTTCATGGATACCAGTTTGTGTATTACAGCATTGTTACTAGATTTCAACGCTGCTTATCACAGACCGTTCCTTACAGAAATACTAAGACATGCCCTTTGCTTTTAAAGTAATTCAGGGTGAAGCTTCTCCCAATGAAGCTTAGATATTACAATCTCTCTCCTTCAAGTTAAATTTTTTATTATTATTCAATATTCATAACTGCAAAACTTATGATTACTTTCCCTTTTTTTTCTTGATTTTGTTTATTTGTATGGAGTGAAGCATTGCTTGTTGCCATCATCCTATCCCTCAAATGCAAATAAAAATCACAGGTGGGTTGCTGAGATACCTGTAATTCCTGAACAAGACTTTTTAGCATATGTAGTTACTTGCTCTCTTTTGAGTATTCAGATGGCAATAACCATAATTGTCATAAAGAATATAAGATTTAGATTTTTTGTTTTCTTTCTTTTCTTTTAAATAAAAGCTAATACTGAAATCTGATAGAATCAAGGTATTGTTTACATTGACTTGTACTTATACCTATTTTGAAGGCTAGGAATTGACATGATTCTACTTGTTTGTATATTTTGATTATGAAATAGGATCCCAAGTATTCTACTTCTTTGTTGTTTCTGTGGTGGTAACTCTCACAACAACCAAGAACAGGCCTCTGACACACACACACAGAGATTTTAGTTTCACTACATATACACAACAAGCCTTGGTCTTTGCTAGAGTTTGTGTAGGTATAGCTAAAATGTAGTACCCTGCATGTCTGCATGTGCTGATTGCTCATTTTTTCCATATATTAAAAACCAAAAACAGGAGAAGGAAGAAAATTTGGAGACAAGGCTTGTGTGCATGCATCCTATTTGTGCTTAGTTAAATAATTTATTATTCATACAATAATTTATATAGTAACATATGCTTATTTATTTATATTGTATTATTTATTATATGATATCTTAATTTGCTCTTATTGGTTTTTTTAAGTATATAATTTATTGAATGAGTTGTTGTAAAAATATCATTTGCCTCCATTTTTACCTAATATTGTAGGTATCAAGAAGTGGGATCAAAATCTTTCTGTGAACTCCTACTTTCCATTCATTTGCTCCTTTTCTGTGCCAAAATCTTTTGGATTTTGGTTTGAAATTCTATCAGTATAAGTGAGCCTGCTAGCTGTCAAATTGATTAGAGATCAAACACTCAAAAGGAAGAAGAATAGCAATCATAATAAATAAAGACACAAATTAATGTGATAAGATATTTTGGTTTTTCTTTGTGCATTTGAGGCTATGTGTTGGCTCACTGACAACTAAGTTTTGTCCAAGTTGGCAGCATCACAGTTGGCTCTATTTTGTTTGCTAGGTGAATTCTTTAATCTTTTTCTCTAATTTTCATATTATGTGTAGAGATTGTGAACTGTCCATTTTGCTTTTAATAATTCTTCAAATCCAAAAGGACCATAAATATCCCAATAATCTCATATGATAAAAAAGTAGTGGTTTCATGTAGCCTCACTCAATATCCTTTCTCTGTTTAGTCTGTCCCATCTTCATTACATACAAATACAAGAATATCCACTTTATTGAATGGCTAGTTTAAAAAATAATGACTGAAAAAAACACTTTTTTATGGTAAAACTTTACAGTATATATAGAAATCTAAGTTTTTGTTTAAAATTTTCATTCAAAGAGGAAAAAAAAAAAGTATTACAGTGTGGGGTTAAGTGGTCTTGGGGACGATAATAGACCCCAGGAATGCAGCATGAAATTGCAGAAAAATAGGTAGTGGTATAACATTTTTCTGTGTAGTTTCCAAAATTGCTCTTGAAATGGACCCTTGATGTTTCTTTGTATTCTGTGACATATTACAAAGTTTTGGAGGGAGAGTAATTAATGCATGCATGCCAACAGGGTCCACCTTATTTTCTTTCTGGCTACATGACAAAATCACAGTTTAATTTTTATTAGAGTCATAATGTTTCTAAAATCCACAATGAGGTGGATTACAGTGTAAAAGATAAGAAAAACTAGAAATATATTAATTATGAGATAATATAATCTTTTATTAACTCATATTTGTATTAAATATATATATTTTCTTAGTTATATTTTTTTATTTACAAATTTATACTTTAATTGTTATTAATACAAATAAGAATCACAATCTATTGTGTCTTCATGCTATTACTACGTAAACTAAAGAACAAGAAATGAACGATCTTCCCTTCTCATTTTCTTCTTAATGTTTTTATGGTATTTTCAAAATTTCATTTATTAACTCGACATGCTATTAAAATTTTTCATCAATTGGATTTTGCTTTTATAATTTATATATGATTTTATTTCTTACAAATAAAATTAAAATACTTTTAGGTTCATATTTTATTAGATTATTTTGAATATGATATATAAAAAATGTTGACTAAGGTGATTTTAACTTGTATTTAAAACCTAAAAGAAAAGGTAAAGTAAAACTAAATTTATTAAAGATAAAGATAAACAAACATGATCACAAAGTTCCAAACCCCATTAGAGGTTGGCCCCACTATGTGATATTTTTTCTTTTTCTCGTTGGTCCTAATCATTTATATATGATAATCAGGTTACAAGAAGCCACACATTCTTAGCGTTTCATATATTGACTCAATCTAGTGACTTATCCTAAGTTTTATAAAGCATGGTCAAATAAAATTCCATTGCATCATATATTACATACATTATTTTACTTTGAGAGAGAATTAAATTATAAATATTTAGAGATAAAATTTACCAAATGTAAGAGTAATCAATTTTGACCTTTCACCTTACAAAATAGATAATTATATTAACATATAATGGTTTCAATTCCTGAACCGATTAACTGTGCCCTATTATATTTTCCACATTAGACTAAATACTAAAATTTCTTCCATTAATGTTGCAAGCTTTGAAAGTCTCAAGGATTTTGAATCTCTACATGCAACTTTGACCTCTGAGATAGATGGTAGCAAAATTTGTTGATATCCTACCTGCCCAATTATGCAATTAACTTCCTATTTAGGTTGTTGATGGGTGGGTGGGTTAGTAAACAAAGTCTCAAAAGCACAACAATTAAGAGTTCGTTTTCATGCCTCAAGCCATTGTGAGACGCATTCCAATGTAAATCTTTGAATATGTTAGTGGATGCATAAACAGAATTGGTAACAAACAGAAACATTGGTAACTCAATCAGTCTTCCATTGTTAGACCTCACACAAAAGAGTTTTGAAAGAATTGGAAACAAACAGAAACATAATTAGCATGGCAACATTGTCAAGAGTGCACTCCATAAGCTTGATGATGCAATCAACTCATGAAGTAAATGTAAACCTGATGTGGCTAAAAGTTTCATCTAACAAACCAATTATATTTCGCATTTTGTGCTTGCTGCATAGACCCCAAAGGAGCAAAACAAACCAACCAAGCAGCAAGAAGTAATCAAGGTGAATAGTGACAGGTGAAACGTCAAGGTTTCAAAGAGATTCATCAGACCAGGCAATTTCATGTACAAAGATTTTAAGAAGCTTCTATCTTCCTTACATGAGCTTAAGTTTCAAATACAATCTTAATAAACTCTTGGCATTTTAAATTACAAGCATTATTATATAGGAAATTATACTTATCCAGGAGAAGAAAGGGTACTTTTAGTGATCAAAAGGCCAACCACTATAACTTGTTCCGTTATTCTGGTCAGGAGTGGTTGAAGAGCTGCTTCCCCCAGTCTCAGAATAATGATTATTGTTTGAGCTAGATGAGCGGAATGGCCACAAAAATGAAAATGGATTTCTCCTTCCCTGGTTCTGAGGGTTGTTGTTCTCCCTGCCTCTGGAGCTATCATCGCCACCACTGCTGCTGGTGCTGGCATTCCTTCCTCCCCAACTTCGAGTACCGCGGGAAACAACCTGTCCTTGAGGTGGCAACTCAACACGGCAAACAGGACATGAGTTATGCTGAACCAACCAAGGAACAATACAGTCAGAATGGTAAATATGGTTGCATGGCATCTCTCTGGCTTCAGTGCCCAGTTCAAATTTCTCTTTACAAACTGGGCAGTGTGAATCTAAGCGAAGATGTGCCTGTGTTATCCTAATAGTAGGCATTGCATCAATGGAAGATCGAGCCGCTGGGGGTGGACCGCGCCGGTCATTCATGGTGAGTTGCTCGATAAGTTCTTCCAGTCCAGGACCCATAAAGTAATCACCAAAATCAACACGCCTAGGACCTCCTCTTGGGCTCCCAGTAGCCAAGGTGAATCCAGGAACTTGACCATGAAATATTAAATAAGGACCAGAACTAAAAACACCCCAACTTTGTTCAGGAGCTGGGAAAGAACCAGACCTCCCTCTAACATCAAAGTTTGAGTTTCTTCCAGCCATTCTATGCCTCATGAAATTATCAACAGCATCCATAAGCCCGAATCTCTGGTCAGACCCTCTCTGCCCCATAAAAGCATGTATAGCATCGAAAAGGTCAGGCATTTGATGAAACTCTCCTGACTGAGATGAATACGTATGCTGGGGTGCAGCTCCTCGCAACTCATCAAGTTCTTGTATAAATCCTCCATCGCAGTAAGGGCAAAGAGCGTCTCTCCCATCAAGCACAATTGGCTGTCTGCATGCATAACACCAGTGCGTTGCTCCACTTGACATCTTTCCCTTTTAACAGTTTTAGTTTGTCAAATCTGCACCAAAATTCAACTTCTGTTCTGTGTCAAATACACCCACATATTCAGAAATGAAAAACAGTTCATTAATGAAAACAATTATAAACTTGAAATCAATACATAAGATTCAATGCATCAATTGTCTGTGCTACTATTAATATGTATGTCCTAAACAGAATAACGTATTAACTCATAGGAATAAGTTATCCCAATTAAACTGAACCACCAATGTTAGTCATGGACAAGTCGACCATACACTACATAAAAGCACAGAAAACCATCATATCACAAAAATTTTGGACCAAGGACAAGTCAAGAGTCAAGAAGACTACTCTGAACAAAGGAACTGTTGATCCAGAGTTATATCTTTGGATCAAAATATGAAACACTAGAACAAATTTTATCAGAGAAAAAGCTAGCTGCATATTCTTTTATTGTTTTTGAAATCAACTGAAAGTTATTGGGCTCAAGAAATGATGTTGGTCACACCTTGCTAATGATTTTCACTCATAATGTGGCGATTTTCAATAAATTTCAACCATAAGTACATAATGTAATAGAAATTGCGTTGTAATTACACCTAATTTCACAATAATTTACAAATCACAAATGAAAATCATCAAACCCAGATGTGTAAAATTACCCAAAACAACAATTGCAACAACAATTTGCTCACATACAAAAGTCATATTTCCAGCCATCAGCACACCGAATAACAGTTAAAGAATCAGGGCCAACAGTAGCAATAGGGGGGAAATGCTCGCATATTCATCTTAATAGAAAAATTGAAATGAAATCAAAATTTTCCTAAAACTATTTACAAAATTATCAAAGATGAACAAAGGAATAACAAAATTCATCCATGATGCAAAGAACACTTATCGTGAATCATAACCTTGGGGACAGTAACAGTGGAAAGAAACCATACCTAAACCCCAATTTAAAATTAAGAAGACAACAACGAACTTGTTAATAAAGCAGTTTTTTTTTTTTTCAAATGGGGATTCAATTTGTCAATACCCATTTACTCCAATGGCCAAATTAACCCGAAATCATACATAATCAACCGCAAAAAAAAAAGGGGGGAGGGGGTAAAAAACAGAAAAAACCAAAAAAATTGCATCAGCGCAGAAAGGTTCAAGATTCAACAAAGTGAACTTATCAAAGAAAAAAAGAAGCAAGAACTCAAAGGCCAGTACCTGAGATTCCGAGTTTGAGGAAAAGAGAGAGAAAGTAGAGAGAGAGGGAGAGAGAAGAAGACCTTTTCTGCTTGAGTTTTGTTCCACTGAGAAAAAGTATTGTTTTTACCACTTCAGAATTTGTGCTGTGACTCTTTCTTTTATACAATAAATTAAAGTAAAATTTGTAGTGGGAGAAAAGGAACATATTGGAATTTCCAACACATACGATCAGAAGTTTCCATGGAATAATTGATGAAACACACCATTTTTTGTACAGTATTGCAGAATTACAGTTATGGAAGTTTTCTCCTAAAATTTTTCTGAATCAAATTTTAACAGAACGCGGAACTATTATTTATTGTGTGTGTTGTTTGGTGATTTGAGTTGCATATATAATAAAAACATTAATTAATTTCTTGCTATGTGACCTCATTCTATGGTTCCATCCCAAACTGAGGGTAATATTTTTGGTAAAGACAAAAATCTTCCATTAAAGTAATTGTAAGTCCTATATTTTAATATGAAACTATTGGTTACGTTAGAATAATCTTAACATGATTTTTTTTTTTTTGTTATATGATGAGTGAGTTGAATTTGTTGAGTTTACAAAATTTAAAAATATAAAAAAATTGACGATATTTTTATATTACTTGATTATTATTATTTTACTAATGGCATGACTTTTATATTAATTTATAATTCCATATAACTTAATTTTTTATGATTTTTGCATTGTTTTGTTTAAATATGTTGTATAAATCTCAATTAGTGTAATTTTTAACGCATTAGTATGATTAGTAATCTCTGTTTTTATGAAATATTAAAACCATTGATTATGTCATTTGAAACATTATTGTTTGGTGTAATTTTTTTTTTTGTGTGTGTTTTTGGTTTGTTACATATTATATTTTAGGTAATGTGTTGATAAATGTAAGATTAATAATTGAAAGTAGTAGTCAAAGCTTCCCTTCCCCACCCTCAACAATGGCAAAATTTATCTGAAATCATACTTTATATGGGTATTTGGTTCTGTCTATGGTGAAAGAAAATATCATTTATTTATTTATGTCATCACGAAGTTTCATTGTTAAATACTACCGTAAAAAATATTTTACTAACATTTCTTTGTTCTATCTTTTTGCATCAAAATATTTCTAGTTGTTACTTGAAGAATAATACTTTCCAAATCACAAAGTAAATTTTGTCTTTTAACAATTTTTTCTTGATACACTTAATAAAATATTAAACTCCTAATAATATATTTAAGAAAGTAAACTATTTATCAACTTTATTAAAAAAAATTATTAGTAAAATTTCTCACAAACTCAGCAATTCATTTTATACAAAAAATTCAAAAAGAGGTAAAAGTGAAAAATGATCCCTAAATCATAAAATAGGTCAATAGATTAGTCTATTAATAATTTTTTTATATAGATTTTTTTAAATGTATATAAATTATATTTTTATTTTTATTAAATAAATTAAAATAAATTATATTATTTATGTGTTAAAATAATTAATTATAATCAATAATTTAAATTTTATTAATTAATTTTTATAATTTAAATTATAATATATTTACATATTTCAATAACATAATAAAAAAATATAATATTTTTAATTATAATTTTTTATTTTAATATATAAATATTCTTTTAGAATGGATTACTCATCCTACCTTAATCTTAATCTTAATCCGTTGAGTTAACACATTAGACGGAGGAAACAAAACAGGTGACTGACTAAAATTATCAATCCAAGTCGACTTATCAAATTTAACTCATTCTATAATAAGATCAATTTTAAATAGATGAATCAATAAAAATAAGTGTTGAAACATTTTTTTTCCTTTTTCTCTTACATATTTAATAAAAAAACATATTATTATATCTTATATATGATAAAAAAAACAGTTAAAAGAGAAAAATTGGTTTTATATATAATATAAATTATATATATGTGACAAGGTGATGGGGCCTTATTATTGCATTTGTCCCATTTGTTTTAAGCCTCCTAACTAACATTAATCTGTACTTATGATTTGGACATTTCTTTGACTTTCGACTCAACAATTTTTTTTCTCTTAACTACTACTTCAGTTATCACAGGTCCCCCTAAATACAAGATAGTGTTTTACCACAGTTACGTCAAAATCTTACATAGAATTGTTTGTTCATATTTTTTATGTACAGCAATTGTTTGCAAAGAGAGCCATATATAGACCTCCACTAAATTCCATTAATTAAGTAATAAACCAAATAGAGTTCCCATCACAATAGATGAACTTAAAAAAAAAAAAAGTGATAGACAGAGGTAGTAAGATCTGTGTATTACAATTGTAGACTTATGAGAATATGCTAAAAAACCGAAACAAATTGGCTGAATTGAGTTTGAACAGGTAAACCAATAGAGATGACAAAAAATTGAAAGAAATTTATATTTGTTAAAAAAAAAAAAAAGACTAAAACTAAACCAGTCTGAAGTCAGTGTAGAAGAATTATATTTTCAAATCAATATTTTTTTCCACTGTTTGAGGGTAAAAAAGCTTCTTCAGAAAATCAACTTTAACACTCAGCTGGTTCAGAAACTTTTTCATTTTTAAAAACTAAAGTGTATAAATTAAATTTAACTTAAGACAGAAAAGTTTAATACAAAACTTCATTTTTTATTTCTAACCAAAAGCATAGAAAATGGTAGTCAAAAGGTAAACACTAAATAAAAAAGTATGATGTTCTTGTGAGTTTAGGGTGGTGTTGTAGTAAGGATGGCAGCACTAATGATTGCTCGGTGGTGTTGATAAAGCCAAGGTCAGCAAATTTGACTTTTGGTGAAGGGAATATTCTTGGTTGGTTTCGAGAACAACTAGGCACAAGAAATTACATAATCGTTTCAACTTGTTTTAAGTTGTACACCCTGGAGCACACATTCAATGAAATTAGAGTTTGAGAAACTTGTAAACAACTAAATGGAAGCGCATCGTTCAGTTATCTTAAATCCATAAATCTAAATGAAGAAGTAATATTCAAAAGTTACACCATAACATGGATGGATACTTGATATATCTATATCTCTTTTAGTTCTCACAATTTTTGCAACAAAACCACTACTGAAACAGACCAAACATGAAGGACGAAAGGGAGGGAGTATCAATCAGACTAACAGATTGATCAGCCGCTTGAAAATGGCCAAACTCAAAGTCCAACAACAAAACTTAAATTTTGTTGAATGCAACAATGTCACAGCTTTGAATATACTCGTTGCATGGCTCAACTGTCAGATATTCCTCAATGAGGCTGTCCACAGATACAAGGTCATCCACAATAGTCATCATGATCTGCAACTTCTTGATTCCATATCCAACCGGCACCAGTTTGGCTGTATCAATCAAAACAAATAATTTTAGATAGATTGTAACCTTTTCAAGAAAAAATAGATTATACACTACCATGATAAGGCTGGTTTACGTTATCATCCAATCTCAAATTACCATGTAAAGTAACTTTTGGACTTTCACAATAATTTATCTTAAAACACATGTTAACACTGATTTCTGATCGACTGATAGGGTAAAAATATTTCCACTGACAATGCATAAGCCATTATAATGAATGCATCAAATTTGCATGAGAAAAGTTAATGAAAATTTAAACATACATGCTCCCCACAATAAACCAGGCATCTCAACACTGCGGACAGCCTCTTCCAGCTTCTTCATGTCGGTCTCGTCGTCCCAAGGCTTAACATCAAGGAGGACAGAAGACTTGCCACCTATACAATGTCATTTAGTGACAGTTTCAAACACTTTCAGCAAAACTAAAATCTAGAGATAAAAAAATGCCTGTGTATGTGACAAGTCATCATAGCTTTCAACTTATTATTCTACTGTACAACAGCATTCTTGGTTCCTACCTTCTCTAAATAGCAATACAATTTTAGGTGGATTAAAGAAATTCAAAGACAGCTTGTATCAATATTATATTTATGGGAAACGTTGACCACAAATTACAGTCACGAGGCTCCAAAGAAAGCTTACTTTCTTTTTTCTTAGTAGACTTTTTAGCAGCCTCCCTTTCCTCTGCAGCCTTCTTATCCTCCTCTGTCTCATCACCAAAGAGATCAAGATCATCATCATCTTCAGCAGCAGCCTGACATTCAAATAAATTCCAACAATTAAATCAGTTGAATGAGTTCAGTTAGCTGCTTCAGTACAACTACAATAGTATCTAACACTTCACAATAAGTATCTTTAATAAGTATCTTTCTACTATAAATCTAAAAGTTTATTTTCTACAACTCTGTATAACTTTTACTGCCTCTAAAATTGTTATCATAAATAACAAAGTTCACTTAGTAACCACATCCTGATGAATCCGATCAAGACAACAACTATCTCATTTCAATAGTAAATTATTGTATTTTTCAATTCTAAAATGTGCCTCTAGGCTCTAACATGGCTATCTTACCTAGTAACTATCTCGTTCAGGAATAGGAACTAAATGTTAAACATGAGTATGGTTATAAATTCAAGCTCTGCTCTTTCTAAAACTGAATATTAGAGTAATTCCATCCAGGTATTTTATCCAAATGGAAGTATTTTTTGTTAAAAGAAAATAACACTATAATTGCTCTGCCTTCTATTTTAAGCACAAATCCACGGCTTCCACTTTTGACAATTTTTTAAAATATTCTCTTTCTGTTAGAGTGATAGATTTAAATTTGGGACGTTACATGATCAAAATATTGAAAGGTAAAAATAAAAGGTGAGTAAGAAAATGAAAAAAAAAAAAAAAAAAACAGAGTTCGGGATGGATAAAAATGGCAGAAAGTTTTGGAAGAATTAAGTAGATATCTGAACTATTTGCAAGCATTTGAATAATGTGAAAATTACCATGCTATCATATATCATGCTGCTAATTCATATATCATCCATCTTGATAATCCTAACTACTACTTTAGGACCAGTCAATATGAAGATAAATATCTCACATAATTATGATAATGAAGAAATAAATCAAATTCATGCATTCTTCAGCATTCATATCTCTTTAGTTCATAATGATCAGCATCAAATTAATTATGCAAAAATCTTAATGGAATTATAAAGAACAAAATTATGAAAAAAATAAAAATTATACCAGTGTTGTTCACTGCACATTTATGTTGTTTTTCAAATTTCACAGAGTAAAATGAAGTTATGAAAAATAATGAATTGTGAGATCAGCGTTATAAAAACTGGCTTGAACCATCCTATATGACTAGGGGACTTCCTATGTTATAGTATGAATGTTTTTAATACTAGTTCACACAGCAGTTTGATAAGTCTAATGACATTGCAAGTGCAGTGACAAAAGCAAACGCAAGGTCCTGCAGTCATAATCCAATAGCTCAAATTTTTAGCATGTAGTATTTATTTATTTATTAACATTTTAGTGTATAAAAGTAATTTTCCGCCATTACATTTCTGAGAGAAGGTCAGTGCCATCCCTACATTTCTACTGTGCCTACCATTCCCATACATCCCTGATACCCGTAAGTTCATAACTGCTCCCCGATACAATTATATGCATGGCAATCAACAATCGTCACACTCTTATTTGCACAAGGTTTTTCCATTAGTTTCCTATTTATTGACAACAAAATTCACTATTCATTCATGTACTAAATGATTTGTGCATTTTCAATATAAGAAACGATTTTTTTTAAAGGAAAATAACACGAGACAACAAAATGCTAAAATTAGAGAAAACGCATACAGCTTTGGCGGGTGCAGCTTCAGCTGGAGCAGCTACGGTACTGAATCTAACCCCTTGAGCGTTCCCAGGGAAGCTACTCAAATAAAAATTGAAATTAACAATAATGCCAAATCTAACAGTAAAAGCAAAGGCGGAATTTACAGCATAAAAAAAAGGAAATGAAGTGAGAGAAGAACAAACCTTGAGGCAACATGAGAAGAGACAACATCGTACCACTTGGCAGCATTAGGGAAAGTGTTCCCCGGCTTCTCTACAACAGCTGCATACACTTTGATATCATCCTTTGTCAATTGATCCCTGAACTCAAACAAATAAAAACCCACATACGGATTCAATCACCCAAATATCAGAAACCGTGAAAGATTAATTTTTCAATAGAAATGGGGCGGATGGTATGAGTGTTACCCAGAAATATAAGTTTTCCCAGAAAGGAATTGATCGAGGGATTTGATTCCCTCTTCGGTGTGTAGATCTGAGAAGGTGACAGCCATTGGTGTGATTGAATTGAAGAGTTGCAGTGCAGTATGAAGTGTGAGAAGAATAGAGAGAGCCTCTTTTCAAGTTCAATGATTGATATTTATATGCATACAAACCCTAGATCAGTCCCAACATTTGATTTTTGAACTGAAATTCCCGTAGAAGCCTTATTTAATTACTTGTTTAATGTTTTATAATTCTTGTAATGGTCATTTCTAATTTTTGATAGTATTTAATTAATAAAGACTAAAAGATATTAAAATAGATTATTTTGAAATATTTATTTAAAAGTAATTAAAAAAATAATATTATATACTACTTAAAACATTTTTTTTACCCAAGTAAGATATTTTTCGTAAAAACATCATCATGACTTTACTGCGATTGTGATTGTTTTCCATATGAATTAAGAAAAGGAAGAGACACATGAATTGATATTTCTTGATTTTTAAAAAATTTATCTTTTTCTTCAATAATTTTGTCTTTAGTTTCTTAATAAATAGACTTAAAGTGTAAAGTTGAAGATAATTGGTACATGAAAAATTAGTAAAATGAAATATTTGATAAAAATAATATCCTTTTTCCTGTGTCTTATTTTTTTACTCTTATATAGAAAAAGATAAACAAAAATGTAAGCGACAAATAATATGTTGTAATTGTATAATTATTTAAATTTATTTAATTTTTTTAAATGACATTTTACGTCACTTTCTTCCCTTTTTTTTTCATACTTTTTCTTACATTAAACAAGCTTTGGGTATTTCTAACTTTTAAGAATTAAATATTATACATATTTGTGAGTACATTGAGATTTAACACTATTAATTTAAAAACAACAAAATAATTGTGAGATCAAATTTATATATTTATTAAATATTGGATATAAAAAAATACTAAATATTAAATAAATATATATATATATATATATATATATATATATAAAAGTATTATTTTATCAAATCATACAAATCTTTTATATAAAAGGCATGGAGATGATGGTTTGTCTGAGACATATAAAATGACTTCACCTGAAATAAGATTTTCACATACTAAACTTTTTCGTAGTAAAACGTGAAATAAATAATTGAGATTTGTATAAATAAATCCGATCCTTTAACTTTCAAATCTTTTTAAACACAAAATTTCAAATGATTGATATTTGTATATAATAAAATCGTAGAACTTTAGTAGTTTTTTTTTCTTTTATAAAATTGATCAAGAGAATTGTATTCACTTCTATTATCATATCTTTAATAATAATTTTTTTTAATAATTTCTAAAAAAATAAGATGTTAAAATAGATTTACTTCAGTAAATCAGCTTAAATCATCTAATAAATAAATCAGTTACATTAAAAAAATTTGCAATTTAAATTAAATTAAACCTATTTTAATCTAACTTATTAATATTATGGCCATACTAAAATAAAAATAAAAAATAATATTATTATATATATATATATATATATATATATATTATAAATTACTTTGATAAGATATTCATTTATTTTAATAGTAATTATCATAATAAATTTCTAATAATATTTTATTTTTAGATTTAATAATTAAAATTAATTATTATTTTAAATTAGTAAAAATAAACAATAATAATAAAAAATAAATTTTTAATTCTTATTTTAATATTGAATAAATATATTTTATTATAATTCATATATTAAATTATTATATCTTAAATAAAAAAATAATTTTATTAGTAAAATTTAAATTTTACAAATATATGTTTATTTAAATATTTTTTAAATTAATTAATTTAATATAAATATATTAATATTTTTAAAAAAATCAATCAAATCAAAATGGTAGTCTATCGATCTAATATACCGTGATATTAGATTCAAATTGTTAGCCTTTTTTAATATTGTCAGATAAATCATAAATTTATTTTAAATATTGGTCTAATATAGGAGCTAGACCTTCTATTTGACAACTATAGAAAATAGTTCAGAAAATTGCATGGACATACCAGAAATTTATTAGTTATAGAGATTGAAATTTAAAATAAATAAGCATTGAGTAGAAACAAATCCATATTGTTCACGCTGTAAGGATTTTTAAATTCTAGCAAAATCCAAAGTCTAAGTACACACACTTCAAACTTATAGTCAACTGTATCAGGAACGAACTTGGTTTACTTTCTCAAGAGTAGCACCCACCGCATATGGCATCTCTACGACAAAATGATTGAAAGAGAACAAATAGATATGATGAAATAGTGACATGAAAATGCCGTAGCTGCAGAGCATTGGGCATGCAGAAGGATTGTGAAGGCCACGAGGCCTAATACAAGCTTAGTAATTTCGTTACTTAACCAGGAAACCATTCGGTCTCATCGAAAGTTTGGTCAAATATCTTGTCCTACTTTATGTGGCAGTCTCAGAGGGACAACGGTTAGGGAAATACCAAAGCTAAGCCATTAAGAATAATCATTTTTAAGGGGTGACTTAGGATACTCGATAAGCACAAGAAATGCTATCTAAAGATATTATCACACATTGACAAAGCACCTTGGACACACACTGTCTGCAACACCATGTCTTTGTAGATAAACTCATACTTTATTAAGCTGCTGCCAGAGTCATGGTTCTTTAGGACAGTTTGCCGCACAACATTTCCTTGAACCGCTTCTTCTGTAATAAAAAAGTGGAGTTCCTCATTAAGGGTAGGGCCATGGAGGGACAAAGTGTAGTTGTGATCCATGATGCATCTAGAGAAATCAATGTAAGAATTTTTGAATGGTCTCTACAAGGCTTGTCACTCGTGGCAGGAGATATGCTCACACTAATTGCAGTCATGCACCAAGTTATCACTCCTAGTAAGTAATCTTCCTCAGATTGCAGGGAGCTTCTTAGAATTTTGTTTTATTCAACCCCTTAACATAGTTTTTGGAAGAAAGAAAATGGAATATCACAGAACAATAAGTCAATAAGAGTTGTGTTGAGTAATCTGACCATCTGTTAAACATAATCGTTTTTTAACCAATCCATTTTCTGGATTCCTTTGCGTCAGTGGGGTACAAAAGCAGTGTGGATAGCAGGTTAATGTTTGGAGCAAACCAGAAGATTGTTGAGGCACAAGCTGCAAGGAAGAAGAAAGAGTATATGAACAATAAACACCTTGCTCAGATTTTTCAACTGTACAAATCAGAAAAGGTCATATAAATACCAGTGAATAACATTTCTCTATTCTTGCTTTCCTTCTGCACTTCACCAGGTTCTGTGACCATTAGGAAGCATCGAATATGGCTTGCATATTATTAACTACTAAATATTGAGAGCCTATAAGAGTTAATTACAATATAAATATGATTTTGATAACTTTTTACTCAAAATTTTCACCCTATCAGTTACCTGACTTGTTCTTCAATGCCTACTTCTGTTATTGGAGTTTTTCTTGAGCTGACTTCTTTAAATATATACGTGTGATAAAATCTAACATGGTATCAGAACTTTTTTAGTCTCGTTTATTATAATAGCTTAAATTTTACTAAACTCAAATGACTACACACATTTTGCAAGCAACCAGTTTAACTTGTATAAAGTATAACCAGATGACGAAGTGAAACAATATTCAAATAAGAGCAAGAGCACACAATCTTCCAAGTTAAGATTATACCAAACATGTCTTGAATGAGCCACACATATGCTTCTTCAAATACAACTAAAATTCAATGGGTTTAAGCTAACAGAAACAATAATTAGGAAACAGGGTTTCTCCAAAATTCAGTGCACAATTAATATTCCTTTTAACACTATTTTTGCGAAGTACAATTAACCATTAATAAACAGAAACAAATGACAAAAATCATTTCATGAGTTAACTTGTTCTTTTATTATTCATCTATAGTAGTACTGCACAATTTTTTCATCTTTAGTAACTAGCAAATCATATTTTCAGGTTGGATTTAAGATAGAAACGGCTATAGGATCATCACTAAAGGCAGTTGCAGTGAAATCAGCCCTGAAGCTGAAGGCAACTTGGCTCATACTAGACAGGTCAGATGAATTTAAACTGGCTATCGGAATTATCCTATTCTCATAGATAAAGAAGAATGTTAAATTATACACTGACTAGGCATGCAAGAATGATATAATTCTTTTGAAACCCTTCATCTGAAGACTGTTTAAAACAGATTATCTAATCAAATCCATTAACGAAGGTCTACGGAGCATAATTCTAAGCAAGTCATACCATACCAAATATACTCATGTATTTGGGCATTACTTATATGTCAATCACCCCTAACCTCAAGTATTCTGTTTTTAACAAGAGCAAGATCACAACATAATTGAGATATATAGTTTGAAATATAAATCAAGTTTCGTGTTTAAGAGCTTGAAATAACTTCAGGATGTAGGTAAGGTCAAATATAGATTTGTTAAAACAGTGAAATACATCAATTGTAAAGTCCAACCCTTTTTAGAGAATCACCTAACTATAACCTCATATTAATGTAAGCTGCATCTGGGTGGTGACAGGAAAATGAAGAATGATGAGGAGTATTTCCTCCAGAAGCTTTCCTGTGGTATATTAAGAGTAAGGCGTTTCAACAAAATTATACGTTTAAGAGAACCACTACACCTCCCTCATGAAAAACGCCCCGGTAGCAGCACCCATGAAACATTGACTGACAGTATACCACTACCAGACATTTCAGCTGAACATCATTTTTACCTCTTCAGCAATGACACTTCTCCCAACAGTAAATACTCCAATACCTTAATATTTCATCTCATTGCATGTAGTCATGATATGAACTTGTGATCCTTATCAGCTTCTACCCTTTTCATTTCTGAAATTCACATGTGGGCTAACATTAGCCTTTGTTCAATTGCATGTTTTCCTCCTCCATGAACATCTAAAGTTATTATAGTTACACTTAATAACTACCTATGCAGGTACAGTAACAGACTATCCGATGAACCAGAGACAAAACAGCCCCCATGATGAAGCATGGTACTCAACTCCTGATCAACTGAGTACAGAAAAAAAGAACAATAGTATCAAGCAAATGGATGAAGAACCAAAAACAAGCAGAAACCATGGTATGGAGAAGGACCTACAACCTAAACAGAAGTCAGTAGAGAAAAATTGTGACATAAGTTGTAGTGGAAGCAACAGTGAAACAAAACAGAAAAATTCGTACACCTTGTCTCAGAATGGAGAAAAACTCTCATCTCTTGGTGGAGCTAAAAACTTTTTTCTTGGAAAGGCTGAAGAGTACATACTGTCTGAAAAGTTTTTTAGTTTGAGTAATTTTCACGTGAGGAACTAATCTCAAAGTTATGCCTGTATGCATTACACATTTGTGTCAATATATTCTATTCTTCTAGTCACCTCAGAAATATGATGGTAAGATTAGCTAATATTGACCAAGCTCTGCCTTAATTCATGTACTAGTAATACTGCTAAAGTTATTAGTTTTAAATGATAACTAATACTGGGTTTTATAGCAAAATCTACATTCTCAATCTCATTATTAAATTGTATCCACTGTCAAGTGTTCTTGAAATCTGCACACTCAAGACCTGTGGCGTGCATGATGAAAAACCCATTCCTACACCCCATAAATCAAACATCACTGTTTAACAAAAAAGATCATACGAAAATCTATGCTTCTTCAGTATTAGGAATTATTCTTGTTGATAAGATGTTACCTTATACCGTTGCTGTTATATTGCAATGTCATGTATCTACACACACCTAAAATTGTTTACAAAGTTATATTATCACTATAATCAAACACAGTCTAAGATAAACTTTTCCTTAAGAATTTTTTTTAACAACTTTTAGTACAAACAATTTCTCTATAAATTAGTATAGATAAAAATGTAGACAAGTTACACCTTCTTTTTTTTTTTTTACAAATTTAGGTTTATACATAAATTAATTTTAAATTATGAATACTTTTTTTCTAAGAAATTTGTGTAAACATAATTGTGTAGGCTAAAAATATGTTTAGATAAAAAACAATTAAAAATTAAATAAATCTACTATATAATATATATTTTTATAGAAGGATGTCATATGAAATCAGTATTTTTTTTTTTTGTAACTCTTTGTTTTCTAATTCATAAAATATATTATTTGTTATATTTAATTATAGACAAATGTTGTTATAAAAGTATGTATTCCAATCAAATTAACCAGTTAAGTAATTAAACCTTAATGGATATGTTGACTTATATCAAATCATAATTAATTTATTAAGTTTTGTTGAATAATTTTTATGATTATATAAATTTTTTTATCATTATGATTTTTAATTATAATTGTAATAATTAAAGTTACAAAACTTTTAATATTTTCATTTCTTTTAGTAATAAGTATAAAAAATAATTTTATTAAATTACCCATATATATATATATATGTATATAGATATATATTATTAAAATTATTTTAAATTTTATCCTGATTATTTATATTATCATTTTTTATCTAAAATAATTAAAAAAACAGAATTATTAAATAAGTTATTTTTAAACTTATTTTTAAAAAAATCAAATAAGCCCTTAAGAAAGATTAAAAGTGATATTAATAAAAAAAATAAAAATGAAACAATTAAAATTAAAAGAAAATAATAGAAAAATATAACTCTACAAAAATAAAATAAAAGGTAATATAACTTTACATAAAACATAAAAACAAAAGTTTTTTTTTATAGACAAGTGTTGTATGAATTGGACTAAAGAAATACAGAATTTTTTTCTGATTATAGACTAGTTTTTAGGGTAGAAAAAGGGATAGATAACCCCAAATAAAGTATCCTTGATAGCATCATCATAGTCCTTATCATGATCCTCTGCCCATCTAAAGTCACCAGAATTCCCTTGCTTGGAAGCTTCATCTGCTTCTTCCAAAACCTTTGGTGGATAAAATATGGATTCCAAATACCCATTGCTGCCAGGAGGACGTGGTACATAGTACTCATTAGTTTCACCCTCAAGAGCCTCTCTCACTGTCAATGACTCATCATCCAATGGTGGGAATGATAAATCATCAAATGCTGAAAATGATAAATCATTTAATAATGAGTCACCATCAAGTGACCATGACAATGGAGACGACTCTGATGCCCAACAAGAAGGGTTATTTGAACATGCAAACTCATGAAGCTGGTCTTCAGGTACCTCAGAAATTGGTGGTAGACACTGTGCTTGATTTTCACTGACATTGTTGAATGCCAAATGTGGTACACAAGATGATGTACCTGCTTCTGCTTCTGAGTCATTGACACAGGAAGTGAAAGCTTCTGGACCAGCTTTTGGTTTTACATCATCTGAGTAGTCTAATAAGCCAAGACGTTTCCTTTTCTTCAATCTTGTGTTCCAAAAGTTCTTTATTTCATTGTCTGTTCGTCCAGGCAACTAAACCAACCAACACAGACAACAACATCATGAGTAACATGCAATCCTTTCTGACAGAATACTAGAAGAAGCAGAAGAAGATTCAAACCTCTAATGCTATTTTGGCCCATTTATTTCCCATTAAAGCATGTAACTCAATGACTTTAAGTTGTTCTTCGTGGCTGAATGCACCTCTTCGCAGATCTGGTCTTAGATGATTTGTCCACCTTAGACGACAGCTTTTCCCACAACGAGCTAATCCAGTGTTTTTCATGACCTCGTTCCAATTTCCTGGTCCATGTCCTGTCACATATGCTTCCAAGACTGCATCTTCTTCAGCTGTCCATGGCCCTTTCCTTAAATTATTTTCCTCTAACTGATCATCGTTATTATGTTCCTCGTGTAATGACAACACAGTAGCTACAAAGAAGAGAGATATATTCAATGAAGAATGCAATAATTAATGATTCAGTTTTAGAAAAAATTAAAACTTTTGATATCATCTACTTAGTTTGTAGATAGAAATAGTAGAAGACGATGCATTCCCCTTATAAATAACTTCATCTTTTTCAGAGAGCATAAATCTTGTGAAAAGTTTCAGGAATATTTGCAGAATTAACTTCACAACTATAAATAACATATAAATGAAGTTGGAAATCAACGAAAAACCCACAAAAGTAGCCATTAAATTACGTACATACGAGAAAGGAGAAAGTTGCTGTGACAATAACTACCACGATCATGTCCATAGATTTTTTTGAGTGTGGAGAAGTGGTTTGGAAAAAGACCTAACTTTATTTTCATAGATTGGGTTGCATTTTAACTCCACTTCTCAATTTATAATACCTTCTGTTATCAATTGATATTATAATAATGATTTTTATCTTTTCAAATGATATAATATTGAAATATTTTTTTTTCATAACATTTTTCAGAAAATAATCAAAGCTAAATTGTTTAGTAATTTTTTAGAATATTTTAAAATAAATCATGATCGTTCATTACTTAACCTACCCTTAAAATAAAATCTAATAGAATCTTAAAAATATATTGAAAACATGTTATTTAGTTTAATCGATTTCTTAGTTTATATTTTAATAGTATAATGAATTATTAAGATATATTAATACAATCGTCATAAGAAAATATTTAAATTTTTAAGTTTAATATATTCTATTTCAAAAGTTGGATTAGTCAAATTTAATTAAAAAATGTTATTTTTAAATAATCAAATTTTAATTAAATAAAAAATTGGAAAAAAATAGAAAAATTAAAGCTTCTGATCCAACCAATCTTAATAAAATAAAAATAAAAAATAATTATTTTCTTATAATATTTTTAAAAAATATATAATATTTTTTTATTACATATTAATTATATTAATTTTAAATAATAATTATTTTATTATATATTTATCTTATTTTAATAATTATTTATCTACTTTTTAATAATAATTATATATCTTATATTTTTCAATATATTTTATATTTATAATTTTTATTATTAAATATTTTTGTATTTTTTTATATAAAAATATTATTACTAATAAACTTATTATATTATAAAAATATTATTTTTATTAAATTTAGTTAAAACTCGTGAAACCTTTACACCCTAAACTATATCTTTATTCATTCAGCCTCGAATTATAAAAATATCAATATTCAAATTATCTAATTCTTTTCACTAACAAGCAGGTTTTTATTATTTTTAAAAGTTTTAATTTTATTTTAATGTCTTAAAAAATGATTCATCTTTTTTACATATAGAGAGTTTATTTAACTGAAGGTAAAAGGTAAAAATTAATAGAAAGTATTTAATTCTTAAATATATAATTAAAATAATATAAAAAGCTAATTAAAAATTATTCAATTGCAGATACAATTATGTAAAATGTTAAAAATAATAAATATTATTTAAATATTTCCTATTAAAGATACAAGTATTTTCATGATAAATATTATGAACATAAATATTTATGAAATAATATTATTATCTTTATAATAAAAACTAAATAAAAATATTAGAATAAAGTATGTTAAAGAAAAGAAATAACTCTTTAAAATTATTACGGAAAACTCACCAAAAAAAGCCATTGATATAATATTAAAATATTATACATATATATTAATTTAAATTTATATATAATTTTTTTCTTATAAAACATCTCAATATATATTTGTATCAATTTTTTATGTCAATATCTTAATTATTTTTAGTTTTTTAACCAATGAATAGTAAATTGCATTAGTTAATAAGATAAATTTATTTCATGTCTTGTGATGGCATAATAATATAATTGTACCATAAATTAATAAGATAAATTTATTTCATCTCGTGATGATATAATAATATAATAATTAAAGATTTTAACTCAAACAATTAATAATATATAATTTTAATCTAAATCTAATCTTATAAATCGGTTTTATAAGATTTGATTAAATATTTTTCTATAATATAATATAAAAAAATTTATTTATTAATTTATTTTTATATTTAGTTTTATGGTATGAAGATATTTATTCTTTAACATAAGAGATTAGAAATATTATTAAGTAATAATATAATACAGTTGCGAATATCACATTTTCAATCGATTTTATAGTAATTCTAATATTATTAATAAATTTATCATTTTTTTTAATATATGTAGAGAAATCCAGACCATGTTTTGTTCCTAGAAATATATAATGCTTAATTTGTCATTAAATATATTAATATTATTATCTAAGTTACACTTGTTCTTAAATTTTGGACAAATGTTATTAAAGAATTCGAGTTTTGAAAATTTATTAGATTCTTTTTCAATAAATATTGAGCTATTTTTTTAAATTAGTTAAAAATGTTCACATAAAAGTTTTAAATACTCTAATATCTACTCTTATAGATTTAAAATATCTATTTATTATAATTTTTAATTATAATATGATTTTTAAATTCAAAAACATTTATTATTTTATAATAAATATAATTATGTTCAAATATTTATTTTGTGAAATGCATATACCAAAATACTAATTTATTATAAGTTTAATATTTATAATATTGTATTTATTATGATATAATTTTTAATTTTTTTTATTATGAATTAAGGTTATAATTCTATACGAATAAATATCTTTATTGTATAATATATAAACTAAAATACTAGAATTTTAAATAAAAATGATATGGGTTATAGGATAAAGATAATTTTAAAGCTTACAAATTTATAATTTAATAGTTATATTTTAATGTAAGTTGAAATATATCTACATCTTTGTTAGCAAATTAGACTCTGTAAAATTTCCAAATATGACCACACTGTTGAATGCTAAAGTAGTGAAGCAAAAAGAACAAGCCCTTCAGCACATGACATATAAAAAACAAAGAAAAAAAAAAAAAGTTCACAAAGTGAACGTAGAGAATTCTTCAGCATAAGAGATATCTCATAATCCGCAGCAAAGTGGAGTGTGTGTATCACTGAAGTTGGAAAGTAGGAAACCTTAAGCACATGACATAACTGATAACCACAAACGTCATCAGAATATGAAGTGCAATATCTACATTTTGCCTTCTATGATGAAAAAAGTCTTGAAAACAAGTAACCATGGCAACCCTGCACAGTATCTAGCAGAGGCATAGTTTGACATGCTTCCTCAACCGCACTGTTCATCCATTTTTCCAAAATAACTTCAGCAATAGGAGCAACCTGATGCTGCAACAGTGCTGCACCAAGTGGTCCTATCAAATTTAGCCGTGTAGCAGCAGAAATCACATCTCTCATTGTGATGAACATGTAAGCTCTCTGAGAACTAGTACGATCAAACCCTAAGGCTCCGCATATAAGTCCAAATACAGGTGCATGATGAAAAGATACAGTACCTAAACCCAGAGAAGCATCTCTCATGGTTTTGAGGGAGGGAACCTCAGAAAACACAGCTGAAGCCACCCTCATCAGTGCAGATCCTTGCGAGATTGATGCCTTTCGACTCACTTCATTGGTTAGGGTAGCATCCAATATTTTGTCAAGCTTATGCCAGTTTTCCAAAGTGGGCAACATGGAAGCTGAGTACACAAAAGGAAGCAGTAAGCTTCCTGTATTCTCCAATATATGAATAACAAACGTCTTAAGATCATTGGAATCAGACACTAAGTGAGTCTGAACTGCTGCTTCAAGGCCAAACGAATGAGCAAATCCACCAGTAGGTAGAAGAGAATCAAGCAACTGCCATTGACTCCACTGTAAAAATGGGCCTGCAAAGCAAGGTGTGCTGTGTCCTTCATTTATTTGCATTGTTAATGATATGACTCCAATGCTGATCACAACTGTCTGATTACTACAAAAGCCCAGAGGAATAAACCAGGTTTATGTATTCAATCTAGTAAAACAATTTTAAAATAATTCAATAGATCTTTAGAAAATGAAACATATCCGTAAGAGATAAATCATTTTGAGGAATTCAACCTAACCAAAGTTGAATTTCCAAAAGGGTTCATGATCTTATCACTACCAAATACAATAAGCTCACAGAAGATAGATGCTATGCATCAGTGTACTCCAACTGAAGTCGCAACTCTCAAGTGAACCATAAGCAGCACCCTTAAACAGGCTAAAGTTAAGATGGAAGAAACTTCAATTCAATGATAACCAAAATCGAAGACACGTATTTAATAGATGCCAGGAACTTCTCTCAACAAAATTTGAAGAACAGATGGCCAAAAAGTGACATGTTCTTAGCTTGCTTGGCAAGCCAATATCTCAAACAAACACATTGTAGCTGGTTATCTTAGTAGGTCAAATTAAATGTAGGAACTTCCTAAGTGTTGAAGATGCATATATAAATAAATTCATTTTGAGTTGTTTGATAGTACAAAGTAAAAATAAAACGTAAGATAAGAGAAATTAATAGTAGCATTAAATATAGACTAAGGTTAGAGACATCCTTCACAGCTCTTTTGAAACTTGGAAGCAAGAAATATACTCTAAATCATATTACCTACTGGGAAGTTCCTGCAACAAGTCAATATCAAATTCTACTGGGATGTGAGACTTGGAACAATCTATTTATCATGGTTTTTCACACTGTGATTGACACTTGTCATTCAGCAATTACAATTAAAGCTGCTGTACCAAGACATTCCCTAATACCTTGAACCTAATACCATCAGCCTAGACAAAATAAAAAGGCTAAGACTTGTTTTCTTGGGATTGATTATCGCCCCTGTTCATGAACTGGAAGCCCATGATATATCTATACTCTCCAGTCCCAAGGCAACGGGCGCAGTAACTAAGACCACTTCCACCACAAGTCCTACACCATATTGGCCATTCACCTTTCGGGAGCATTTCCAAATGAGGCTGGTTTGTCCTTCCCCTTCCACAACACTGGTGGCAATCAACTCTTCCGCTGCCCACACATACCGCACAATGCGGATCTGGCTTCTTCTTTCTTTTTCTCCGAACATTCGACTCCGTTCTCACAATCCAACACGGCTTTGTGAATGATAGATGAGGTAACGACTTGGACGACCGAGATGGGGGCAAACCATTGAAATTCGTGGCCTCAAATCGGACAACTGTGGATAAACTCAGTGTCCCAAAACCCATCTATGCCAGCAGAACTCCAATGCCTAGTCCGCTTTCACCAATGGAATCTGAAACAAACGAGGTTACCTACTTACTGCGGACTTCCAACAAACATTTGCTTAAACAGTGATCACTGAATAGTAATTCATGAACAAGACTACGACAACTGCCTCTGAGGACTGTGACATGGTCACATGGATGCATGCCACTTCTTCCAATATAATATACTGAATGTTTCCGCTACTCTTATTAACTCACCAAAACGGGTACCCAAATGAAAATTATCCTAATTGCAGGGAAAACAATCGTCATCTGTTGGTGAAAATCGATATTAACAGACTCAGGCCAGCTTAAATTTACAAAATTTTAACTTTTATATTAAAAGGGAAAAACTTGTTAATGGAAGTTCCTGGTCCTTAATTCACGCCCAGAGAATACAAGATACGGTTACTTCATCAAAGATTGCGAAGATGGACAAGGGAATGGAATCTCTGATGGTACAACTCAGATGAGTATAAACATGACTGAGCTACAAAACCCAGAAAAGAAATCGGACCAAATGTAGAAAAAACAGAAAATTTGGAAATGAAACAGTAGGGTATGGGATGTTTACCAGGTGTTGAGAAGCAAGAGAAAAGGGTGTCGATGTGAAGCTTCGGAGTTGTGTCTTGTAGCCAACACATGGATGTATTTCTTCCTGTTTGGATTGATAAACCATTATAAGATGACAATAATATTTAATTGAACAATATGCCTAAAACTTCAACATGGTTTTGTTTTGTCTAAGAAATCAATTATATTGGAATTTATGGATTTTATATTATAAATTTATTATTATAATAAATTAATAATCTAAATAATAATAATAACATAGGATCGAATGTTGTTTTTTTAATTTTTGAAATATGGTCCTAATTAATCTTAGTCTCTTATTTTTAAAATTTGTGGTTTTAATTTCTTAAGATTTGATCGGAATTAATTTTAATTTTTAAACTTTAAAAACTATAATTTTAAACCTTGTATTTCTTAAATATAATGAAAATCTTATATTTAAAAAAACAACCTGGTCCATATCTTTTTAAATTTTCATGGAATTAGTACTGTTATAATAAATGGCACATAAATGAAAAAAAAACTGCTGAGGATAAGATACCAATCCATTTATTTTCACAAAAAAACCGATAAATTAAAAGAAAATTTAAAACTAAAATAATTTTATAAAAACGAAATAATATTTAACCATACATAATTATGTTATTATATTGTATAAGATAAAAGTAATTCATGAAAGATAATCAAATAATAAAAATTAAACATATCAATAAGTTGCAAGTATCGTTTTATTTAAAAAGATCTTTTAGAATATATATTTTATCCCTCGTTAATCTTGTAAATTAATATTTACATAATAATTTGGATCCAATTGAATCCATGTACGACTAATTTTACAAATTATCCAAATTAGTTTGGTCCAATCAGTAAAAAACAGGGTCAGCAGCATATTCTGAATTTTCTAGTAGAGTTATTGATGTAAACCTAGCAAGTTTTAACTTTAGAGTGAAACCCCACTAAACCCCCAGAACTAAGAAGTAAAGGGTTGTTATGTTATGGAGTGTCACACGGACATAAACGCAAACATTTGGAACGCAATGGAACCCTGAGTGGAGAAGGGGAGGAAGAAGAAGATTCCAACTCCATTGATCCATGTCGACGATGCTACCAATCAAACATGTAACCAAACACCGTCTCAGATCCAAACTCTTTATCTCCTCCATTCTCAACCCTTGCTCTTTCCATGCTGCATGTGCTACACTCGCATCGTCACCTTCTTCTCCATCAACGCCCTCAACTTCAAACTCCTTTTTGGCCTCGCAAAACGACGTCGCCGCCTCCTTCAAGACGTGGTTTGCGACCCGGCAGTTAGAACTGGACCCCCTTGTTCACCGCATCTACGAAATCCTCGCCGCCTCCGGCGACAACGACGACTGCTCCGCCGCGCTCTCCTACCTCTCCCTCCCTCTCTCCGAGAGGTTCGTCCTCCGCGTCCTCCGCCACGGGGCCGCCTGCAGTGAAATCCTCCCCTGCCTCAAGTTCTTCGACTGGGCCGGTCGCCAACCGAATTTCCACCACACGCGGGCCACCTTCGTCGCCATCTTCCACATCCTCTCAGGAGCCAACCTCAAATCCCTAGTCCTCGACTTCCTCGACGCCTACCGCCGCCGCATCTTGCACCACCGCGTCCGCTTCCACGACATCCTCGTCGTCGGCTACGCCATCGCCGGAAAGCCCCATAGCGCGCTCCAAGCGTTCGCCAGAATGCGATTCATCGGCTTGGACCTCGACTCATTCGCTTATCACGTCCTTTTAGACTCCCTCGTTGAGAAAAATTACCTTAACGCTTTTGACATCGTCGTGAGGCAAATTCGCGCCAGGGGCTTCGAGAATCACCTTACCAATATCATTGTTATTAAGCATTTGTGTAAAGAGAGAAGGTTGGAGGAGGCTGAGGATTTTCTCAACGATTTGAAGTGTCGTGGAGAGGAATTAAAAGGGCCTGAAGTGAGCTTTTTGGTTGGTGCTTTGTGTGAGAGTTCTAGGTTTGAGCGTGCAGTTGAGTTGGTCAAGCAATTTGGGAGCTCTGGGTTGGTTCCATTGGATCATGCTTACGGGGTTTGGGTAAGGAGTCTTGTTCAAGGTGGGAGGGTGGATGAGGCATTGGAGTTTTTCTCTCAGAAGAAGGATTTTGAAGGGTATTGTCCTACCACTATCAGGTATAATGTTTTGCTTTATAGGCTTTTGCGGGAGAATCGGCTTGGGCAGGTATATGATTTGTTGGTGGATATGAATGAGAGTTGCATTCCCCCTAATGAGGTTACCATGAATGCTGTTTTATGCTTTTTTTGCAAAGCGGGGATGACGAATGTTGCGTGGGAGTTGTACAATTCAAGTTTTGAGTTTGGTTTGTCTCTCAATCATATGGCTTCCAAGTATTTGATACTTACTTTGTGCTGGGATGGAGGTGTTATGGAGGCATACAACGTGCTCAGAAGTTTGGTCGATAAGAGTTATTTTCCTGATCTGCGGACATTTTGCACTCTAGCGAGTGCTTTGTGTAGGGAGTGCAAGATTGATGAGATGAAAGAGTTGATGTATCTTGCCGTGGGGCGGAATATTTTACCTCCTGCGTCAATATATAACAAGTTCATATCTGCTCTGTGCCAGGCTGGGAGAGTGGAAGATGGTTATTTGGTACATGGGGAACTCAAGACTGTTGCTGCCAGGTCTTCGTATGTTAAGATGATTAAGGGTTGTGTTAAGATGGGTAGGGGAGATATTGCTGCTCGTCTTCTTGTTGAAATGAAAGGGAACGGTCATAAGCTGACCCATCCATTATGTTCAGCTGTTATTTGCACCTTACTTGAAATGGATAATTCAAGAGGGCGCTTTTTCAATTTACTGGAGATGCTGACTCGTTATGAAAATTCTGCTTGGACTTACAACTTTTTCCTCCGCGCAGCTAAACATGCACGGAAGGCTGAGTTGGGTAGGGAAGTATTTGAGTTGATGCATAGAAATGGTGTTCGGCCCAATTTGAGTTCTCGTATTCTTATGTTGCAATGTTATTTGAACAGAGGGAGAATTTCTGATGCTCTGAATTTTTTTAACGATGTCAAGCGCCAGGGTTTGGCACGTACGAAGATATATAATGCCTTGGCTGTTGGTCTTTGCAAGGCCAATCGGGTAGATATCTCATGTGAGTTCTTTTTCAGCATGTTCAGCGTTGGATTGAATCCAAGTCTTGAATGCTATGAGCTTGTTGTGCAGAAGCTTTGCTCATTGCGAAGATATCATGAAGCAATTCATATTATTAGTGCAAATGAGAAAATGGGACGCCCAATAAGTTCTTTTATTGGCAATGTACTTCTTCATCATTCTTTGATTTCACCCGAACTCTACTATACGTGCGTTAATTTAAGAGGAGTGGAAGAGGGGGTATTTTATGGTAATTCAACGCTTAGCTTGCTGATTGGTGCGTTTTCGGGTTGTCTCCAGGTGAGCCGTAATATTGCGGACTTGGAACGATTAATAGAGAAGTGCTTTCCGCCTGATATATACACCTACAATCTGTTGCTGAAAGAATTATGTAAGAGTGATATGGACAAAGCTCGTTTATTGTTTGCTCGGATGTGTCACAAGGGTTGTGAACCTAATTGGTGGACATATGATATCATGGTACGTGGTTTCTCAAATCATGGGAAAAAAAATGAGGCTAAGCGATGGCTTGAAGAAATGTGCGAAAAAGGATTTTATAGATTTAATCGTAGAAACCAATAGAATATTTATTTAAGGACAATTGTTCAGTATCCAATCAATGTGTTGAAGATGGAACATGGTTCACCCAATTTTGGTAAGGATGTTATGATTTTTAACCATTTATTGGAAAATGGGCTACATTTGGATGCATTGGTTTTAGTTTTTCTGTTTAATTTTTAATCTAAAACAATCCTTGTATCTTTTATTCCCCTCCCCCTTTTCTCTTGTGGAAACTTTGGAAAATAAAATATGTTTCCACCTTGTATTATTTATCACTCTAGATTGACATTAGCTATGATATTTGACATAGCTTTTATACATCATCTTATCCTCCATTGTGTGTAAAAGAATTGCTTCTTATGCTCTTCTTATGCTAGCTATCACCACATGGAATGAAACATAATATCAGATTATTCATGATTCAGGACACAAATTTGACTAACTCTGAATCTAAATGAAGAAGTTCACTAATTGCTGAATCCCACGAGGGCTTGTGGTTTTCATGCCAGTACCATATTGGTCTTGGGGATTACTCATTGCAACAAACATAATACAGCTATCGAAATTAGAAGGGATTGGATTTGCTACATACATCAACCCAGCAATATTTCATTTTTGTACTATTATTTTATTGTGGAAATTTATTAATTGTTGCATTTTGCCTTGGTTTATTTAATGCGCATTGTCCTTGACTCCTTACTTGTTTAGAACTTACTGACTTAATCGATTTTGTGTTCCTTCTGTGCCATCCATAGTCTCATGTTCTGTTATATAATTTATGTCGAATTTCTCAAATTGAGGTACCAAATTTGTTTATCCCAGACTTTGTTTATAATTATTTACATGCCTTGTAGTTTCAACCTATGAATAGTTAGGATAGCTCGGGTTTCTATTCTTTTTGAAGCATGATATATACATACATTGAATTATTTTCCCTCTTATCAGATGTTTACTACTCTAGTAATAATCCCTGCATTCACAAGTTAGTTTGAAAAATTGGATGTCATTGGTGAGGTATTGGTTGGATTTGTATAGCAGTGGTACTTTGTGGCCTGGTGTATGCTCTTGTCCAAAGCTGAAATGGAGAACTGGTCGTAGAAAGAAAAAGAGAAGAGAGGGAAAAGGTTATGAAAAAAAAAAAAAAAAAAAAAAGGAGGAAGAAGACAAGTAAAGAACTGATGCGTTGAAGAAAGCCATTAGTCCATAAACTGAGGAGAGGTCCGAACCGAAGAACTCAAGCTGTGATTGAGTAAAAGAATGACGATTTCCAGTTTTTGTTTACAGGTTTGGATCCAGTTTGACTAAATGGATAATATGGAATTCGAACCACACAATTGAGTTTTTCATACAGTATAGTATAAAGCTACTGAATTTGATATGAACTTTATGAAATAAAATCATTCTTTATTTTATTTTTTATTTTTTTGTCTAATTAACTCCTTGATTCCATAACATAATTTTGTTTGGATTTCGTCTTTCTTTTTCCTTTTTTTTTTTTTTTCTATTTTCAATCCGTCTTCGTTAACTTAAGCAATAATTATTTTATCATACGATGATATCAATGACTAGAATAAGAAATTGATATATTTATAAATAAAAAAATATTTGTATTTATTGGAATTAAATAAGAAATAATATCTTTTTCAAGATTCATGTTGAAGTGACCTCAATATTATATGATATGTTAACGTGGTAATACTTTAGTTGACGTGGATAATTTTGTTAATTTATCATGGATAAAATCATCGTGATACAGTATGATATTTTCATCCAATTTAATGGAAAAACTTGACTCCATTACGCATACTAAAAGGTAATTTATTTGAAAAGAGCAAAAAGAAAAAAAAATTATACCTAAGAAGGAAAAAAAATATTCCTTGTCCGTAATATATGCAATGATCTAATGTGTGTAGTAGTAGCAAATGTTGTTTTTCGTTTTTATACGAAGTAGTTCCCAACATGATTTACGGCGAAAATTCAATTTCCTGTGCGACCCCAATCCATGTTTCACAACAAGAAAGTTTTTTCTTTAATTAATTTTTTCAAAAAGTTATTCTCTCTGTATTGAATGAAAATCTAACTTTTCAAAAAAGTTCGTATGTCAATCTTATTCAATTATTTATTGGAACAAATAATTAAAATATCTGATAAAAATGTCATCTTACTCTTTCAATTATTTAGCGTAAACATTTTAAATATATTATTATAAATCAATTACACTCAATTAAGATGTCAATAGTAATTTTTAATTCTGTCATATTTTAATTTAAATATATACACCAATTAAAATAATAATTTCATTTTATTAAAAAGATATAAAAATTATATAACGACATAATTAAACATGAAATAGAATGATTTATATATTCTAATCAATGTTGATTTACAAAATGTCAATCAATGGAATAGAATATTTAATATTTTCCAAAATTAATCAAATTAAGGTCAAAACTCAATTATTACATATAACAGTAATTACCACTTAAGTGCATCGATACATTCTTTTTTATGTGTTATTTGTTCTTTAAACAACCAAGAGAAAGAAAATGAAAGAAAAAAAAAAATATATATATATATATATATATATACTGATGCAGCGTAGATATATCATTTCAAAATGCACTTTGGCATGAAATTCAGATTAAGACAAAAGATGAGAAAGATAAAATAAAAGGCATGATGGTTGACTATTTTCCATTGTTTCCCACTGAATTTTGATAAGCAAATTAGCAACGAATAACATTCTTCCTTTCTTTCTGTATTGCTTCTTTTTTTCTCCAACCCCCATTATTGCCCAAACAATTACCAACTCTTCTTCTTTTGCCATCATCAACAACATCTACCACTTGAACAACTCACAAGAGCAAAGGGTAAAGACCACAAAACCTACTCCACCAAAGCATCTACTGTTAATGCTCAATATGTAAAATCATACTACTCATTACCATGAAAGTGGACATCAACAACATGACTATGTAGATATCTGTTTCTTCAAATCATGCTACTTTTCGTAACTATTCAAACAAGTCACAAAATTCAATTCTTTTTCATTGTCTTGCATCAATTAATTACTTGAATGTGGACAATTAGCAAAATACATTGTACACTAGGAAATATTTTTATTCAAATTTGAGTAAAAAGTTCAAAGTTAGCACTGTTGGAAATAAGGGTGTAAAGAGCTATTAGAACCTAGTAGTTGTAATAGTGGAGAAATGAGTAGGTCACACGTTTTTGTAATCATAATGCCTCTCACACTCACATAGAAGAGGACAAGAAAAAAATAACAAGATTGATTTTTATTAAACCAATTGAATTGTTAGATCCAATTTTCAAAACATATAAATATATTGTTATATAATTAAGATTAATTTATTTTACTTGGAAAAACTTAAGCTAAAATTATATATAGTTTGAAATTTCCTTAATAATTTTGACGTGTTATTATAGTTGTTTATTGATGAGGATTGGCACTACTAATTAGAATATTTAGAACATGGCATTGTGTGGCTTTCAATGAATTATTATTGTATGAATGTTGGTGCCACTTGCGCCGCCTCACTATCACCACCACCACCACCACCACCACCTTAATCATTTTGCTCCAATTTTATTTTCTCCCCTAAATCAATTTTATTTTCTTCTTTTGTTTTATTAGCTCCAAGCCTAGCACGCATTAATTCATTCGTGTTCTTCTTCTTCTTTTTTCCCCTTAAAGATAATTTGATTGGAGAGAAACTTTTTCATACTCCAAAATTAGTGGATTGTAATTTTTGAAGTAATTAATTTATTATATAATATAACACTTACATTCATCCTTGAATTTCAAAAGCTATAATCATCTTATTTATTAAATTTATCTCATAATGTTGCAATTTTTTATAAACTTTAATTAACTATTTGAATATATAAGAAAGAAATTTCTAACACTCTTCAAAAGAAAAACATATTGTGTATTTTGCAGAAGGGAAAATACTTTTGTCTAATTATAATCAAATTAAAGGATCTTTTACTTTCCTTATTCGTAATAAACATGGTGAAACCAATTCATCTCACCAAAAAAGAAATATTGAAACTAGCAAACCAAAGTGAAAACCAAGAGAATGCTTTTCATATTCTTTTCCTTTAAGCCATTCCATGAGACTTCTCCTCATCCTGACATTATTATATCAGACAGAACACTAACAATCCCACTTTTCATAGCTATCTGTATCATGTGCTCAGCTTGTAATACTATTCCATGTGAACTTCTCTTTAGATCTTAGAAGCTTTGCTTTAACAACAAAGAACTGTGACCAAATTAACTATATGAGTAAAATAGAAATTGGCTATCTTAAGACAAAGTGTCTTTTGTGCTTTTTACATCAACATTTAGTCATCAACATTTCTAAGCTGACAAAATATTTTTCTTGTTCTTAAGTATATGTGTGCTCTCATTAAAGCCATATGGCACACCTGTTTGTTAACAATGTGAAAATGGAGAAAAACAAAAAAACATTGATAAGCACCAAAAAGTAGGTCATAACTTTGGCTGATCCATTGAATCACCTAATGTGTATTACATATATGATCCAAACTGTGAAAAGAGAGAGCAAAGAAAAATGAGGACTAGAGAGGGAGGTTTGTGATGTTGTCCTTGGAAACAAGGAGCAACAATTGGTATTCACAATATTCCTACATCAAAATTGCATACCTCATGCTGTCACTTACCATGAGATGGTTCATTTCAGAGACCTGTGAGAATTCCCCAGTTACCCAAACCCCATCAGACCCATTAACCTGAGGGTGAGAAACACATGAGAGTATTGATATGGGGGCTTGAAGAATGCTGCATACAAGCCCCCAACCATGTTGCCTTCTGTCCCTGCCATGTCCAAATAGCTCAACCCCGTTTCCTGTCTCAAACATGCTCTCATCTGCCACCTTGGAACTCTTTCTTGTGCTCTGGAGGTTTCTTGTCACAGCAGCTAGAAGACGCCACATCCTCTACTACTTGATGTTCACTTCAGCTACCTAGAACATAGATGAAGTATTGTGTATATATATATATATATAGAATTTGTGCTAGTTGGAGTAAGACAGAATATTGGGGACTCTGAACCCTGCAGAGAAAAACAAAGGGTTGTTAGAAAGGCAAACTCTTGTACAATGCTTTTAATAATGGTATTTTGGTGGTGGTGTTACCTAGTGCTTGTGTTTATCACAAAAGTGTCATTGGTGTGACATGGATGGTAGATAATTTTATCAATTGGGGGAGAAGTTCAATTCTCTAGTGTATATTTATACAAAAAAATTATTTTTTTAGGCATTTCAATTCTCGAAAAAATGCACTCTCGAAGATACCAAATTTACCCAAAATGTTTATCTGAAAAGGTTTATCGGTGCATTTTGGAAGAGGCGACCATATGTAGGAAATTTATCCTCCCATTGATCAAAGGTGGGGTCTTTTATGCCCAACTTGCCGACAAAGCTGCCTAATCGTACAAAAAGTCTGCTGAAGAGTCTTTTAAGCATCAATCTTTGGGTTTACTTTTGCTGAGTTGTTAATGTTGCATCAGTGACACATTACAGGTTTTACCAAAATACAAGAAGGAATTTTTAAGGTATACCTTTTACACTTTACAGATCATTTGTCTACAATTTGAAGGGTCCTTAACACTAACACACACACATGAAGCTTTGGACAGAACTGTGTAGGGTGATGTCAATCATTGACATTGGGTTAGAAACCTCAGCAAAGAATCTTCACCATCGATGATTGATCTTTGTACATGGATTGACATGGCTTGTTTTTTAGAAGAGCAATTCATCAGAATAATGCAAAGTTTTTGGGTTCCCCACAAAACAAGAGTCAATATACCAGTGCCAAAATGTGATGCAGACCCATGTGGGGATATATGTCAATGAGTACTATTCCTCCACTAAAGAAGCTTTATCAACTTGTGGAAAAACCGATGTGAAGATATAAATGCACACAAATGATTAACCTTGATCACAAAGCAATTAGGGAGAAAAATATGCAATTGGGTTATCATCAAGCAAAATAGCAGTGTATAGTGCCTTCTTAGTTTCCTAGTGTTCGAAATTTGACTCATTCAGCTAATGCTGTGTGAGTCATGCATGCGACTTCAACTGCTACAAACAAAAGCTATTTAGTTCAAGATACGATAAATACTGTTCTAAAACTAAATCATGATTAGTTGCACACACAGAACATCTAATCAAGCCATTCATTCTTACTTTCTCATGGATTATTTTTTCAACCAATTGTTGGATTCGTATTAAAATGTGGACTTGCATGATCCACGATCATACACAACAAGTCAACTCCTCACCACCATAAGGATGGTACATGATTATACTCAAAATATAGTCCAGCCAAAGTTGACACCACCACTAACCTTCCATTTATTTGTATAAATGTTAATCCATCTCTCTTTTCTCTCACTCTCAATTTCATTCCTTTTCTAGCTTATTCCATTGACTTAATTGCCTTCAATTCCTTCATCATGGACCAACCTTACCTTCACTGCCTAACAGGACCACGCTTACACATTCACCTAAACCTCACTAAATTATTGCATTCCAAGTTTCTAAAAGTATCTTTTAATTAACAGTGCAGTTCCTGGCTTGATCTGAATTTGAAAATGTAAGGGTTGGATCATGATCAAAGTGTATAGTATATCTACAAACTTACTCAGAAACTTAAGTTGGTGTATATCTTGAACTACAAACTTAAATCTTTATTAAGAGAAGATGCATTCATGCCATGCATACCTTTCTAAGGGAACTCCAATGAAGAACAGTTGATAAAAAATCAATTTATGCAAATACTGCTTTAAGAACAAGTTAATCATAAGAACAACTCACAAGAAGAAGTGCTTTTAAGTTTATCACTGGGAGCAACTAAGGATATTGCCATGTCATACCTTGGATAAGCACCAACTGCTATTTTTATTTATTTATTTTTATAAAGTTTATATTTAAGTCATCATCACTGTTTTCGGATAAATCTTTCGGGGTGCCACCTTTTATACCCTTTTTTTTTTGTCAATTTCAATTAAAATTGGAGTTTTGCATTGTCAAGTAAATAAATTATTAATGTGACATTTTTTTTTTTTTGGAAGTTAATGAAAGTGGAAAACACATTTTAATCAAAGAAAAAAGATTACATAAATTTTGTTACTTTGTTTTATGGTAAGAAATAAATGATACGAAACAGAATGCAAGAATAGTAGAAGATGCTTGAAAAAAATGAAGAAAAAGTTGTACAAAGTAAATAATAGAAGGTGCAAATGGTCAAATTGGGGACTGTGAAAACAATGACTTTTTTTAATCCAAACAATTTTTTTTATTGGTTTATAATGTAAAAGTTTTACATTGTCAAGTAATAAATTTTAGATAAAAATGATTCCAAAATATTATTTTAAAAATCAATAAAAATATGAACTTGATTATTATGTTTGGTGGGATTTTAATGATTATTATTAGTGGATGAACTTGATTCAATTAACAATCACAAATGCTAGTTGATTTCATATTGAAACATGAAGATTCACCTTTATTTTTCCGACTTAACTTAAAAAAAAAATTATAATTGATTAAGAACAAATTTATTGTGATCATATAAAATTCTAAAACAAAATTTACAAGGGAAGAAGATATGTTTCTTAGTGAATCACGATTGAATGTTTTGCAAGACTCAATTACAGGGGTTAACAAAAAAGCTAATGTTTTTGGATAAGAATAAAAAAAAACTATGATGGACATTATAATCATTTACGAGAGAAAAAAGTGATTGCACTAAAATATTATTATATATTGTTCACAAAAGTTAAACACTACCATTCAAAAGTTTTTAGGGTTCTAATAAAACAAGCTATCACAACAAAGAAAAATAATGTCATAAATAATACATGTTCATCTTTTGTCCACATGAACTTAAGCTAATTCTTAAGTTGATTTCATAACTTATCCCAATGGTGAATAAAGATTCAACCTTGGAACCTCTAAAAGATAAGATTTTGATTTGCCCCATTTGATCAACTTCTTGAGACCACTATATATATTTTTTGTGTACAATGATCACACTAAGATTAAAAACCTATGAGTTTTATGCATGTTACTTCTCTCCTCCTCTAGTTTCAACATATTTAAAATAAACCTTGAGTTTTTAATATGGATTAACATAAACTATTATTTCTAGAGGAATTGAGGAGAGAAAAGTAATGGATTATACATTAGTCATTAAATTAAAATATATTCTTCGTACTATTATCAATAGCTTAGTTTTTTCAGCCAAGAAAGTGAAATGACTTTATGGTGGGTATGAAATAAAATATAAAACATTTATCAACATTATCTTCTTCTTCCTTCCACTTCCTTCCAGTGTCCCATGTGACTTTTTATAGGAATGCACTCAACTAAATCCATTCTTTTAGTTTCTTAACTTTTCTTTTTCAATGTTTTACTTTAATATCATCAATCATATCATTCCCTCCATTATCTTCCTATAATATTTAGGATGACAAAACGAATAAGATCGAGAAAACCAACAGTCAATCATAATATAAGAGCGGCCCGTTTTGACCCGTCCTACTAAACCCATCGAGCTAACTCGCGGACGAAGCGAGTCGGTTCACGACCAGCCTAATTAATAAAAAAATAAATATTTATTGTAATAAAATTAATTATAAAGATAATATATAAAGTTACAAATTTTAAAAAGAGAATTAAAAAAGTTTCACTCTCATAGAAAATATTCTCTTTCTTGAGACACAACATTCTCTCTCATGTTCTCTTGTCATCCTAAGCATCGATTATTTTTATCCTTATAACTTTAATTAAAGGTGTAAAAATTAGTCAAGCAAGAATAATGTGAAGTTTTATCAAATAAAAAAGATATAGGTATTTAAATTTTTCAATATAAAAAATATAAATTTTATAAGTTTGAATGTTATTTATATATATATATATATATATATATATATTTGTTATTATTTATTATTATGTAAATTTTATTATTGTTCTAAATTATAATTGTTAGAATTAATTTAATTCCATTATGTGACTCATATGAAATATAATAATGGGGTCAAATGTGATTTAATAAAATATGAGGATCTATTGGTTATTATGTGAAGTTAGAATAAAATAAAGATAAAAGAAAATATTAACTTACGGTAACCAACTTGATGGACGCTGGTTAATAAAATGGAATAGGGGTTCTGTCTCTAGTCATAAGGTTTTTTTCATGGTAAAGTATCAAGAAAGCGTAAGAAGAGAAAGAAAGACAAAGAGATAGATTGGGAAAAGGAGATTGGAGAACGAAAAGATTAAAGAATAGATTCTTATGGATCAAGGTTAGTCTTCTTACTATGATTCATGTACTAATGTATGTTATATTATGAAAATCAATAATCTAAAGATCTTGTAGAGTAGTTTTCCATAATGAATTAAGAACGTAGGAAAACTACATAATATTTTACATGTGGTATCAGAGCATTGATTATTAGATTTATGATTTTCCTTGTATGAAAGTTTTCTCAAATATTAAGTTTTTCCCAAATTAAGATAAACCTTAATTAAGAATTTAGGGATTTCTCTATCAGATTAGTATGAACCCTAGTTTATTCCTGAATTTAATTTTTCTCAAAATTGAATAAATGGATAAGCTCTAATTTATGGATAAGGCTGCAATCAATTTCAAATTGAAACCAATTTGATAAACCTTGTGCATCAATGGTCACGTAATCCTTTTTAATTGAAAAAGAAAAGACAAATGACATGATTGGGTTATGGCCTTACAATTGGTTTTAATTGAAAAGGTGAATCATGTATGAAATTTGTTTCATTGCATGTTATACTTATAAATGTTATAATTATGATAGAAGAATGGTAAACTGTAAAGTTGATAAACTTTGCGCGTATAAGTTTTGTTAAGGGTACTGTTAGTTTTGTTAAGGGTACTGTAAGCTTTGTTA